CAGACACAAAACCGTGGACCCGACCCGATGATTAGTGGGTATGTCGCACGTGCGTATTTTAAATCCATGACAACCCGATATTGCTCAAGATTGCTGGGTTTTGATCTATTTTGCTCGGCATGAATGAGAAATACCATTATGTGAAGACAAATACCGACCAATACCTAGCAATATCGAGCAATACCGAGTTTTTCTCGAGCGGTATTGCTTGGTATTGTTCGGTATTGCTTGGTATTGTTCGATATTGGTCTTCACAGAGTGGTATTTCTCGTTATTGCAAAGCAATACCTATCAATACCGAGCAATACATAGCAATACCGAGTAAATACTGAGCAATACCGAGCAATATGTGAACATAGCAATCCTGGGTTCCAGTCCGGGTCAAATCGATGGACCACGCGGTAAATTAGTTTATCGGTCGGTCCAATATATAAAACAAACAACCCGGAGCAAACCGGGAGACATCCTCCTCTTCTGCGGCACCGGTTCGACCGCCGCCATCAAACGCCTGCAGGAGGTAATGGGCGTCGCCGTCCCTTCCGTACTCCGGCCACTGCTCCGCTAGAGCGTGTCCTTCTTTCATGGCGGCAAAGCCTGACCCTGGTGGTTGAGGTCGGGCTAGACAGGTCAGGCCGGGTTAATGTAGCAGAGCTTGAGAGGCTCATGGGGTCGCCGGAGTTCTTAGATCGGCCAATGCTCCGTTCTTTTTTGTCTTGTAATAATGTGACCGGCATTCAGACAGACACGAGCAATTGCACGGCTTCTCCATCGTTCTGGTGCTTATGCCTTCGGATTTGAACACTTTGTATCATTTCTTATACAAAGTAATTGTAATTAGTTTGATAAGAATACTTCTATTGCCATTAATATTTTCATCCAGAATACAATGAGATATTAAAATGATGCGGTGTTCCTCAGCCCACATAAGTTCTTGGGTGGCGCTGGGGGGGGAGCCCTGGTATCCTTATAATGAGCTCGGAGCTGTACAAGCTAGAGCGTGTCCCTCCTTCCAAAGCTAACGTATGGATTTGCTCTAATTTGTGTTTGATTTTTTTTTTTTTTTTTGAATCAATATGTTGTGATAGGTTTAATTTGGCTATAATATATATTTTTTGTTTAATCTTCACGGCTGGCGTAATACAAGTCAAATCCATCCCTTGCGCAATACTTTGCATCAAAAAAATCCAAAAAGATTTGTTCTGTTAAATCCGTAGCCGTACCTCCGATCGGTTGTCGTTTTCTAATTTTTAAAGTTTGCATTTGTCTTTTCCCTCCCAAATCCTTCTGTTAACCTATTTCCATACCTAGATTTCGGAAATTGTTTCTAGCCATTAGAAGTAAGCAAGGCGGCACCCTGGAATCTATACGGGATTGTGAAAAATGATTCTGTTTTAGCGACGATTGGCTAATCAAATTATTTATTTTCAAAGTTCTCGTCGATGACAAATGGAATCTATATTTTTATCGGAATTGATTTCGATTAATCTAGCTTGGTTTTGGTCTGTCCCCTTTTGTTTGATTTTTTCTGTGTGTACGCTTCTTAGAATTTATGTACATGTAACGTTACTGGATTATCCAAGTCATTCCTTTCGAGTTTTGAATTTGGTCAGAACTTCAATGCTATGCAATGTGCAAAAGGCTTAAGGGCTTTTCTGAAAATCTGTGTATTGGTATACAAAAAAGCGAGTTGAGGTTTTGAATGAGAATCATGAGATGAAGGAAGAGAAAAAGGGTATGTGAATGAGCTGTTAATGATAATTGCATCCTGAGTTGTCATCGTTGTTCGGCAAGGGTGATACAGAGCAGCTTACTATGGAGATGGAAGGCAGTGGGTTTTCAGAATTGCTTAGAAATACTACTGAGGAAATTCTCATCAAGAGTATGATGGATAACCCTATTGGAAATCCGGTGCCGAGCATGGAGATGCTGGGGTTCAAGAACATAATGCAGCCTTTTAGAGCAGACAGCGAGGAGCTCTTCAATGGCTGGATAGAGGCAATGATTCTTTTCTCTTCTTTCTGTTTTTTTATTTTGGTTGCTGTAAGATTCTGATTAAATGAATCCATTTATTTTTACTTGTTATAAATATATGAAATTCATTTAATGCTATCAATGGGATGATCAGTTTTTTTTTTTCATGAGTGTTTATGGAGAGATTTGAAGCTAGGATAAGTCTGTAATTAACCTATCATAGTTGATTTATTCTTGAGCGATCTCAAGTATTTACTGTCTTCATTAGTTTTTATTTTGCTTCTTTCTAAAAACCATTTATTTGTTCAAGTACGCATGATAAAAGAATTGACGGGGTCATTCAAATATTTTTGAACAAGTTCAACTCTTTATTTCAAGCTGTCTGTTTAACTTTGTATTTCTATAATCACCAAGGATGCTTATCTCTGATTAAGAATCTCTTAAATAGATACTTACTGGATGTTCTTATAGAAGATACGGCAAATTTGTAACATATTCTCATGAATCATGTTTTACAATCTGATCCTTCCAATGAAAAGGCAATCCTTTGTTTTCTTCTTGGCTTCAATCTTTCTTCCTGTCATCATATATTCATGGCGACCACTTTGCATGTTCCATGTTGGTGGCAAAATTATTCGGTTTTGATGTTCAGTAAATGTTTTGATTGAGTTGTTCGGTTAACATTCTAGATAGCAATCCATATAGATTTTTCCCACTACCTTACCACCTGGATAATGTTCTTCCCCATCATGTAATTTGCATTGATTACAGCTCTACCCCAACTTGCTGGATGACCTGGCTTTGTAATAAACATACTTATTGTGTTATAAGTCTCACATTTGAAGTTAGCATCATATGACTAGAGAGTTAAACAAAAGAGAACAAAGTAGGAAAATTCCACATTTTCATTTTCTTGAGTGAAACTGCGGTGCATTGATGAGATTGATCACATGAACTGGCCATGTTAAGTCTTCTGTTAGTTTTATATTATGGAGGATGAAAGATGCATAATCTAGTTGAATTGAAGATAAAGTTGTTAAAAAAAAAATTCTGTAATTTTATTGCATATTATGAATCAGGTACACTGTTTTCAAGGACTTTTTCTTTTGTGTTATCGCCCAATGCTTTTTAAATTTTTAAATTTGATAAGGTCCTTGAACCATTATAAGCTTTACTAATAGTGTAATTACATAAGCTTACATTTCATCTTTTTGCTTTCATGGAACTTCACACAGAGTCCTGCTTCAGCCATAACTCATCAAACTCATCAAGCTTCTACCAGGTCAGTTGGTAGCATTTTACATATGTTCTTTGCCTCTCAGTATGATTATTCTTTCAAATGCAGCCTACTTTGGGGATTACTTAGCAATTATTTATTGTGTTGTCATTAATGAAAGAGTTCCATGATGATAAGCTGTCAAGAACGTTATCATGCAATGAACTTGGGTTCTCAGACATCATTAAAAGATTAGCAGTATATTACAAAATAATGAAAGAAGGGATTAAATTATGTTGTAGAGATAGTTTAGGAGATAATGTCACCTAATCCTGGGGTGTTTTGATTCATTGGGCAACTGAGCACAAACTGCAATTTTTTTTTAATTAATGTGCATTATATCCTTGGAAATAATAACAATCCCCTTATTAATGTACTAAATTCAGACATATCAGGAAATAATCTGCATGCTGAACATTTTTCCGAAGGAGTTTATAGAGTTTTCATTCATTGGCTTCTGACATAATTTGCAGGATATCAGCAGATCTTGGTTTGAGTCAGCAAAATGCAGTGTCATTTACAAAGAAAAGCAGCGATTTTTACTCATCTCATCAAAATATTATCACATGTGATGAACAATTTAGTCATCCTGGCCAATATTCCTTAAGGTTGTTGTTTTCTTATGCAAAGTGGCAACTATATTAGCTCCTTAACTTTCTACATGCTCTTACTTACAGGATGGTTTGATATTTGCATTATAAAGTTATTTGTTATTAAGATGATCAAGATGCTAGTTTTATTCGTCAAATATGTTGTATTTGGTTTGACGCTGTGTCAAAGCTTTGTGTTTGGTGCAGTATTCAGTTAGCCTAGGTGACATCTTAGATGCAGCTAATCTATCATCCTGACATCTGTTGATAACATACGCGCATGTGTGTAAGTAAGGGAATCAAGCAACCCTGCATATTTATTTATTTTTTATGCCAGATATCAAAATTTTTATGCTTTGTGTGGAACTTTAATTTTAATTTCTTCTTTGATTAGTCTCTTTTAGAAAGGAGGCAAAAAACCATCGGATTGATTTGAATGTAACTTAACATTTGATATAAAATTGAAAAAAAAAAAATGAATTTGAAGATAAATATATAGAAAAATTAAAATAATAAATATACATTTATGGACATTACCTTGTGTCAAAGATGAATTGGAGGAGAACGAAGGAGCTGTAGAAAGAGAAGGTCGATGCCTTTAAGAAGCACAGGTTATGGAGACAATTGCAGGAGATGAGCGCCATTGCCTGCAAGGGAGACCGAGACTGAGGTGCCTCTGTTGACAGGGATAGCATTAGTGAAGGAGATGAAGAGGATGTCGCTGCTGCTGCGTCTAGTCATGACTTGCGTTGCGATGCTTGATTTTTTTTCACCCTAAAGTTCTCCCTTTCTTTTATTTGATAAACTTTGATTCGAGCGAACCGAATCAAGACCAACCAAAATGGCACACGAGTATTTCTCACGCATTTCTCGCACACACTTTTGTGATCGACGATGAACATTAAATGTATTAGTGGATGTGGTAGTATTATCAAACCATGATATTTAAGTTCTAGATGTCCAGTTTGGGCTCTGCAATATTCTCAATTGTTTACCTATTTTTTTTCTTCTTATCAGGAATTCAGAAGAGGATGGGACTCAAGCTAGTAACTTTTATTTGGCAATGGTTACCTATTTCTCCTCTTCATCATTTTCCTTTTAAGAAGGCAAAATTATTGAACATAATAGATTCATCTGGTTATACATTGTCATGCAGGCAGGGTTCTCTCAGCCTTTGATAAGAAGTAGATCATCGGAGCTAAGGTAAAATCTTTATGATCATGATTGCGTAAATGATACTTGTGAAAGCTTAAATAATTATATCGATCTCAAAAGAAGTATAGACCTTTCGCTGATTGATTTATTCGTGAATTTGTTTCTTCTGTGCCATTTTCTTTTCCTATCTCATAACAGTGGTCTCTTTTACATTTTGTTGTATGATGATCTACATTTTCTTAAGTTGTGCACAATTCGTTACCTTTTCTGGGTAGCCAACAGTTATTTTCTTTCCTATCTATTCATTTCACTTCCTGACAACAACACATGTTGTAGATTTTATCTTAGTTTTTGATGACTAGCCTAGCCGGAGCTATTTTCTTCAGCCAAATCTGATTTTAACTGATGTTACTGAGCTGAAATTGAGTGGGAGTCCAATGATATGCAAGCATTGTGATTTTGCTGATGACTATCATCATCGCCAATACACGTTCATTATAAATGATATTAATTAATCAGGTTTGGATGGGTTACATGTGTTACTAAGAAATATTGCAGGCTACTAATCTTCCATTTTGAAGTACGCATTATTAATGAAAGAACTTCAAAAAAAACATAGTATCTTGCCCTGTGTGTGTTCGGAGGTGGTTTTTGGAATACAAATTTGAAAAAGCTTCTATCAGTGCGTGCGTATCATTGCCAACCTATCTTACTTATATCCTCCTCGAATCCTGCAGCTCTCGCCTTGATCGTACTTCTAAATGTGTTGATAAAACTAGAGTGAAACTTGAGAGCTCAGTTCGACGTTTCTACCTCCCGTTCACAAGCTTCAACTCCCGATTTCCTCATAGCCCATAAGCCTCCCAGCCGAACTTCTTCTTCCCGCAACTCTGTCTATACCTCACGCTGCAACCGTCGCAAACCAACTCCTAGCTTCTCCTGTTCACAACTCCTGCAAGCCAGTGCCATCCTCCTGTACTCATCAATTCGATCGAACAACCTCGGATCCTCGGTTCGGCTCTTCCACTTCCATGCTCAAGATCCCGTCTCCACTCTCCTTTATCCTCTTATTCCCTTGCCGCAGCCCGCAGCTGAACTAGAGCATGATCTGATTGTTCTGAAGCTGCAATCCTCCGTATATAAGCCTATTGGATCGGAATTTTTATTGCGCCCTCCCAATGACGTAGAGATACGTCCTCCCACTAAAATCACGTTAAAAAACGAGAAATATCGAGCAAATACCGAGCAATACCATACAATAACGAGGAATATCATCATGTGAAGATCAATACCGAGCTATACCGAGCAATACCGAGTTTTTTCAAGGAAAAACTAGGTATTTTTTGTATTGCTCGGTATAGCTCGGTATTGGTCTTCACATGATGATATTCTTCGTTATTACCAAATAATAGCTAGCAATACCGAGCAAAAACTGAATTTTTTAGCGGTAGGAGGATGTATCTCCGTTAGGTGGGAGGAAGTAATAAAAATTCATTGGATCGATCCTCACGTTGACTTCTTCTTCCTATATGCGAACAAGCTCCTCCAGCCGACCCTATTTCTGATTTCCTACTTAGCCGCCTCTATTCCTGTCGTACGGCTCAATCAGCCTCCGATTCTCTTATAACAGATCCTAGTTGATTGACGCTCAACTTGTCTCCCACGTTTAATTTCATGTCGTGCCTGTGCCTTCGATCTGTTAGCCGCAAGTAGGCAGAAAATCCCGTTTGAGGTCACTCCAACCGTTCGCACTTCCCTCTCCTATTCGAATGCCCAAATCCTCTGATTCCATCAGTCAAGGCCGATCGGCCCGATCCCTATCACCCGCACACGATCCTTCTCCCCGCACTCAATTAGAGTCTCGACGTCTTCTGCTCGATCAAACTCAACCTCCCCTCATCCAGCTCTCGATGCGACCCCTGCTCTGCCTCACTCGATCGATCCCCCTTCACTGCCTAGCCAAACTCCACAAGCTCAACAGACCCCGCCTTTTCCAAGAAGCTAGAGGAAGACCTCCTCCACCTAATTCACACCAAACCACTCTCAGCCGACCGACTTCAAGCCTTTTAATCCGTCCCCGTTCTCAATTAGTAACTCCCACTCCTCATTTCCCTTCTATTCGAACCCAGCAGTTGCCGACCCTCACTTTCGATTTCTTTCAGCCAACACATACCCACAATCTCCTCAACAGCTCGCTAATATTTCTTCCACAACAAGCCTACCCGACTCTTTTAAACATTCCTTCTTCCCCCTCTATTCTCAACACCTAACACAACACCTCAATCATTTCTCCTATAGCATCCCACCTCTACTTCCAAAGCCTGTGAACTCATTTATACACTCCTTACACTCACCTCACTCAACCCTTCCAACAGCCTCCTCTTTCCACCTATTATTATTATTATTTTAAAAAGAAGAAAATATACAAAAAATGAAGAAAGGAGAAAGTTAAAAAAAGAGCAAAAAAAAAAAAAAAAAAAAAAAAGAGAAGTAAAATTAAAAAAATAGAGAAGTAAAATTAAAAAAAATGAGAAAAAAAAAAAAAAAAAAAAAAAAAAAAAAAGAGAAGTAAAATTAAAAAAATAGAGAAGTAAAATTAAAAAAAATGAGAGAAAGGAAAAAGAAATGAAAGAAGAGAAAAATTTTGTGCACGAAACTACCGCCACAGTCTCGTTCCTGAAAGTATAAATTATTATAAATGATTTCTAAACCCAAAGACTCCAAATCTCATTTTCGGCACTCGTGACACGGTGGGAAACCACCTATATACTATTTTCTTAGCGTGGTGGGAGGAAGCCCAGTGCAAAGCTTGCGGCGAGGTGGGTAGGCCCCGTACACATTTTCCTTGGCGTGGCAGGGACACTCCTAAGTCCCGTGCACGTGCTTCTATGCTTGCGGGGAAAAACTGTAAATCTTTCAAACAGATACCTCGAAGACCCATGCACGCTTTCTTACTGCAGTGTCGCCCGACATCTATCATACATGCTTTTCTTAGCATGATGGAGAGAGTATGCTGAAATTTTTAGTAGAACAGAGGACATGGACTTAAACTAATAAGTATGGAACATAACTTATATCGAGCTACAGGGAACTTGACTTAAATAAACATCTAAAATAAAATTATAGCACACAAAAGAATAAAAATCAAACATGAACAACAAGGCAAAAGGATTTGTGATTTTCAACATGACTAGCTCATTGAAGGATAAACATATAATTTGATTGCAAATATATGTACAAAAGTCCTTAAACAATACTGTAAATCCGCCTGCAAAGGATAAATGGCACCCATCTCATAAGAACACTAAAAAAGATTGCAATAAATGCAATGGCGCGTTTATAAGCAAAACATGAGACACATGGAACATATATAGAAGTTGCTAATTGGACATGCATGAAGAAATTAACAATGAGTGCAGCTCATCCGGTAGTCAACATTGACTTGCAGATGAACACATTAAACATGCCCGATCCTTCTATGCGGGTAGATAGGAGTCGACACGGCTCGAACCATCAAATAAATATACAGTCGTAGCGTTGACCGAAATATTTGTTTTATAGTTCATGTTAGACCTTCAAGACTCTTATCAAGGAAAATCCATTAACAAAATCATGAAGCCGGCCAAAACCCGATCCTTTGTCGACCAATAGATATAGTTGACAAGGTTCAATCAACAAGTGAAATATCCATGCACCCCGATAATGACGGTCAGTGTTGACTAAAAATCTCAATCGGAGAGGATCCTTAATTATTTAAAATGTCTCTCACATTCCTTCAGAGATACAAGTGATTTCAAATTCACCCCGATAATGTCCGCGTTGATAGAAAATCTCAATCAAAGAGGTAAACTCTAAATATCCAAAATGATTCCCAAAATACTCACAAAATTCAAAAACTCCAAAAATACCCAAAAATCCAAATATTTAAAATTGAAATAAACCATCAAAATGCTTAAAGCAAAACTCATCCACCCTGTACAATAGTTTGTCGAAATGGACAAATTTGAAAATAACTTCAGCTCATAAAGAACTAATGTTTGGTCGAGAATATCACTAGGATTCATTCTCAAACTGTCTCTTGTCAACAAGAACGTGGTACGTGTCATCTAATCGGCGATTTTGCCGCCAAATGACACTGCAGGTAAATGGTTATGATTGGGGCCCTCTGAAATGAGTGGTTTGCCATCAAATGACACCACTAAATTACTGTTATGGCCTGAGCCCATATGTTCCCCAAAGGCGCTAAATCCTTGAGATATGAATCAATATGATATAATTGATAGGGCACAAAGCTTTCTGTTAGCTAAGGTAGATTCAAATTTATCCCCTTAGATAAACATCCACTCCATGTCTACAAGATACCATTGGACGACACAACCCATGGATACCGATAAGGATTCTTCTGTCATGTGGGATTGACTACCTCCTCTGACCAAGTAGACCATGGACCATGATGGCTTGGGACGATGGAACCATGGGATCTTAATCGAGTCTATCATCCATTCCCTCACCATTCGCTTTAAGTACAAGGTGGTGAAATTTTTAATTTTTAAATATCCAATTTTCAAATACCCAAGCCCATGCTGCTACTATATGCCAGATAACATGTATTTCTACATATTCATCGACGACTAACCTTAATCGAAAGTTCTCTCTTGTGAGAGGGAGGGGTAATAAACTATAGGGGCTTGTGCCTATAGGAAACCAAAACTCATATCATAAAGTCCTCACAAAATGAGGGGAAAATCTCTGGGTGTGTCTTATCTACAAACCTAATTTGTCTTCCTAAAATTTACCCCTGAACTTAATCCGTTAAAACTCCCTGAAAGCACGGGGAGGCCGGGCGCAAATTTTCGATGCCCACAAAGCTTGATAAGCTTCCAAATTTTATTTTGTTTGAATCGCTCAGTCCATTGCATCAAGTTTTGTAAGGAGTGTTGAACTTATCAGATCTGAGGTAGAAAGAAAATTTAACGGAAATGCTGAAGTGAACTTCCTACATCGAATTTTTTTTCTTTCTGGTTACAGGTGCTTAATGCAGTAAAAGGCTACTTATCAAATTGAATGGTGGATATTATTGGCTGGCGCAGTTATTTATTTTTAGGCTGTGTTTAGATGCTAGGAATTTGAGTGAAAATGAATGAAAATAGAGTTGTAATGCAGTGGATTCTTTAACAACTCATAAATTATTGGGGTGATAGGGACATCAGTTCGTGGAAGGTTTATCAGAGGCATGGCCGCCGATCTACAACCACGATCGAGTTTTTGTACTTTTGAGTTTTTATGTTATTTTCTTATTTATGTATTTTCTATTCATGTATTTGTTTTTCAGTCGTACACTTTTAGTGGGAGATGTCGTATGTAAGCCCGGAGGGCAATTGAGTCTTTTATTTTTCATGAGTCTCATGTACTTGGCTATTTATAGCTTCATGTTCTATTTTCAAGTTAATGAATGATTATGAGAAAATTTTTCACTCTTGTGTTTGAGAGCGTTTGAGAGTTCTTGGAAAGAACTTTGGAGAGATCCCTAGGAGATGGAGATCGGATCACCCACCAACCTTGGAGACGGCCGGGTTCGTGATTTTCTCTTTTGTCTTTTGTCTTTCCCCTTCCACCTTCTTTACTCATCTTCGTTACATTCAATTCCACCTCCAAATTCCAACCACCATCTTCCCCTAACCAAGCTCTACAATTTCTTCCCTCCACAGGCCGCCGGACACCCTCACCCCGAACCTCCTTGCCGCCGGCCCCCTTCCCACTTTCTCTTCTCCTTTGGTTTCCTAATTAGGTTGGGAATAATTGGGATAATTTTGAAATTCAAATTCATTTAAATTTGAATTCAAAATCTTTCCTAATTTAGTTATTCTATTTTAGGAAAGTACCTAATTTAAATCTAATTTTGAATTTTAAATTCATGAGGATTTAAATTAAATATTTCCTAAATCCCAAAACCTAAATTAAGAAGTCATAATTGCCCCTTGCCCATGCATGCCGCCGGCCCCCTTGCCCTCCCTTATTAAATCCTTTTCAAATTACTTCCTAATCCCAACTCTCCACTTAGGAAATAATTTCTAAACCATAATTCCCTCCTTGGCCGAATTTTCCCAAAGCCCACAATTCCTAATTATTTCCTAAATCAACTATTTGAGTTAGGAAATAATTCCCCCATCCCCACCCCTCTTGATACCGCCGGCTCCCTCTCTCCCTAGCCGCCCCTCTCTCTCTCAAATCTCCTCTCTCCCTCATCAACTCTTCACCTTTACAAAATCTGAAACTTATTTCAGATTTTCGCCTTGTCTCTCTTTCCTCTCCACTTGCAAGAGAAACTTCTTTCTCTTTGGCAACCTTCAAGAACACTAGCAAGACGAAAGATGATTTGTCCCTAGCTCCCATGAATGGCGGATCCAGAAAACGAATACGGCTTAACCTGGGACGAGGACGGCTTCACTGATATTCTTCAATCAACTTTCTTCGACGTTAATACGATGATCGACCACACCGTCGAAGACTACCTAGAGCATATTCTGGACACGTTAGTGGAAGCAATCGACTAGCATTTTGAAGACGTCGAGTGGAGGATCTCCACCGCTCCTTGACAAAAGGTTCTCTTTCTCATTTCATTATAGTTCTTGAATCTAACTTCTATTGCGCTTGATTGTAGTCACGGAGGACGGTTCTTCTTGCTCATGCTAAGCTTAGTAAACGTAGGATTTTGAGTGTGCTTCTGGGCTTAATAACTCTCGTTGTTAACTTAGGGATTTTACTTAAAACTACTATTTGGCATAGTGTTGTTTTCCTATTTTATTTTGAAAGCTTCAAATCTCTGGTTATGTGATTTAGCCTAAGCGGGTGTGACCCCTTATTTGTTTTGATTCGTTGTTTGAACTGCTACTAGTTTTGTTCTATGTTATTCTAATCAAGAGTTGTGCAAATTCTAAATGAATTAATTGCATTTCATATTTAGTCCTGCATCATGGGGTTTCATTTTATTTCCTTCACTTTTCTTCAATCAAGCGAAGGCTATACTTTAGAGGAAGGGAATGAAGTTTGAAAAATCTAGCATCATGATCTCGCTTTATGAAGAGTGTATAGGCAATAACTTGTGTGCATCATTCCATAATCCAGCATGTACTTTCATGTACTGACAGAACATATCCTTAAATAGAAATGATAATTTTTCTCAAAGATAAATTAAGTTCTGACATTTATCCGCAGGAGGAAATATGCTGCTATGCAAGATTCCCAGATTAAAGTGATTCCTCAACCACCACATAACATGCCAACACATGGTGTTCATAGATTCCAGCAAAACTTCACGAACATGAGCAATTTCTGCAACAATCCAATGGCTGAAATACCCAACCAACTGCAGAATATCATGTCTCCATCTAAATTGTCCACGTCGTCTTTCAACCCTCCAATTGCAACAGCTGATATGATTTCTTCTGTTGTGAACATGCTCAAGGGTACCTTAGAGCCTAAAAAGATTGACAGAAATGTTGATGAAGAAACAGTTGAAGGTCGTTCTTATGATATGTTAACTTCTCAAGAAGCTGCATGCAGTAGAAGCTCTATTCAAGGTGTAGGAGATGAGACCACTGTTTTACATATTTTATCCCCAGTTCATGTGCCAGCTTCGGGCAGCTTCGCAACACTTGAGAATTCTTTAGAATTGAGCATGAAAGGTTATCCAACTGAGGCAAATTATATACAGATGAGTACCATGTCTCGAGAGCCTTCTCAAAGCGATTCATCTACTGCTGCTCCTGCAGTTTCAACGGGTTTTGAAGTTTGTGATGGCACTGCTCAATCAAAGCCTGCATTTTCTACTTGTAGTTATTCTGGAAAACAGGTTGGCTATGGTTCTTTAGAACTCGAGTCCAGAGACAAAGGTAGGTTCTTTGATTTATGATTTTGATCCTATATTATAGTCTATTTCAACTTCAAATTCAATAAAAAAAATGTTTTTTTTTCTTTTACATATTCTGTGAACACTTCTAGCATCTTTCTACTTTATAAAACAGTTATTTTTATGTTAGATTGAATCATTTAGTCCATTTACACTTAATATCATTTATTTTTATTCACAACAATAAAGCTATAGATCATTTGAGTTATTATCGATATGTTGTGGTTGCAATTTTTTCCTCTGGAACCATTTCCTAGGTTTTTGATTAGCTGTTGGAAAGTCTTTTGACTGCTTGTTGAATTTGAAGTTTCTAGTGGCTGGTAATTATTATTACCATTACAAGGAACTGCAGTATGAATAAATTAACTGAAAACGCATATTACTCGTGGTCATTTTGGGGTACAATTGACTTAGAAGAGTTCAAACCTTTTAAACAACTTTAGCAGTGTAGAATGAATAAAATTTTGGGGTACAATTGACTTAGAAGAGTTCAAACCTTTTAAACAACTTTAGCAGTGTAGTATGAATAAATTTGCAATCTGAGTTGTTGTTGAAATATATCCTTTACCATGAAAAATTCAGGAAAAGGATGTTAGAAAATAGTTTAAGGATTCTAGAAAGGTATGCTGTTAGTTGAATCGTTTATCAAAATCATTCTTGCAATTTTTTTGAGTCATGGCCTTGAGTACTTATTTTATTTGCCTGTAATATGCTTTCTCCATAAAGAAAATTTAGTATGGATGGATTCTATTTCATCATGAGCTTCTGGTGGGCCTATGAAATCTTGATTCCACGTACATTAATGTTCTCCTCCTTTCTTGTGTTATATTACCTAATCATTTCAAATTAGGGTTCCTTGTCATTTTAATAGAAGTAATTATAATGTATTTACTTCTGAAAATTTGTTGTAAAATGACAACGAATACAATTTATCAAAGTTTATTCATGTCAAGCATCCAACTTGATGAGTTGTTACTACCGAATTATTGAAACAATTAATGTATGTTCTTAGTCACTATAGATTTAAATTTTGTGATTTCAGATTATTTATAAAGAACTGAAAACTAGTTTTTCATGTTGAAACTTATCATTTACTCCTTATTGTTAAACCTGCTCTGCCATTAGTAATTGTAACAAAATTTGCAATGATCTCTAAAAGAAACTCTTCCTATTTCTTGCCTGACTCTTCCTTCTATTTCATCTTTTAAAATTTTTAGCTTCACATGCATCATCCAAAAAAAAAAGTTGCAATTTTCTTTCACAGAAAATTACTAAACAGATTCATCTGTGATCAGCTCCATACATACCTTTTTTCATGACGTTCTTTTATCAATTAAACACTTAATCAACGATACTTGTCTTTTCTAAATCAGATTATCATCCATAGCAATATTTTACTTAAACATTTTACTTGTTTAATACATATTCAACGGACCAAAAAAATTTCTTAGGTAAAGATTGCTACTCATGATTTTCTAGACCCTAGTAACAGTTTAGCTTTTTGAGGAAAATGTCTCTCTTGCCGTATATAATTAATAATTTGCTAGAGATTTGTAATGGCATTTTGCTTCTAGATTGAAATATCCATAATTTAAAAACCTAAGAAAATTTTTTAGATCCATAATCAATGTGAATGAAATGTTGCTGTAAATCCATTGACTGCTCATACATCACACCATGATTACATTACTTCATCTATTATTGTCTAACTTGCAAACTGAATGCAGTGGGCAAGGAAGATTCCACAAAGAAAAGAAGGGTTGAGCGCTCACGCAAGTATGAATACTACACCTTAAATTGTTTTTTTATTTCCCATTTTTTAATCCTTTCCCATGAAAATTTAGTATGGTTCAAATACCATTAGTAATTCCATTAAGATGTTTCTAGGATTACGAACACTAGTTCCTCAAACTAATCCTACCCATATTTTTATCATCCATATTAATATATAATTGAAGTTGCATTCAGCCCATAAATGTTTGATGTTAAAAGCATGCATACCTAAGAGTGGAAAGAATCATTTCGCAAGTTTTGAACCTCTCATCTGTTGCTCTAGTCAAGAGATTACATTTATGTTATATGATGTCTTCCATGTTCACTGTGTTTGCTAGTTGTAGCTTCTGCATGAGATCAGTTATGAATATTTTTCCTGGTAATTTAGGATGGCTGAAGCAAAGGAAAGAAACTCGACACCATCTATATCGTCAGATATGCAGGGAATTCTAAGGCGCTGGGAAAATTTAGAGAAGGAAGTTCGATCTCTCAAACTTAATCTTTCCTTTATGAACAGGTAATACAACTTCAGAAGTTTAGCGTTTCGAACTGAAGTAATAACTGAACATTATTTTTCTTGTGTCTCTATATATATATATATATATATATATTCGTCTGTGCGTGTGTGGTACAAATCATTTCATGTTATGGGACTATTTTCTCTGTATGCTTTTCTTTTGCCCACTATTTTTACTGGTGCCTAATACACATTTTTGGTAATCTTTTATATACTTCCCAGCTACAGTTAGTGAACTGTAATGCTGCCTCTCTCTCTCTCTCTCTCTCTCTCTCTCTCTCTCTCTCTCTCTCTCTCTCTCAACATTCATATTCATCATCATCATCATATTCAATCATGCACATATTATATAGCCCAAATGAATGCCATATAATTCTACAAACAATGAAATCTAAATAAAAGCTGTGCATAGAAACTTAGAAATAATTCTTTATTGTTAATATTATTTCAGAAAGGATTCGGAACAAACCAAACAAATTGAAGAGCTCCTGAAACAAAATGAAGAATTAACAAAGGAGAAGGAGCGCCTCTTGGAAGAGATGGAGCAGAACATCTCTTAACGTCGCAAGATTTGACACATTTTTTCATGTTTTGAACAAAAAAATTTCTTCTGCCTTCCCTGATAACCATCTAATCATGAACCATTAAATTCTTCAAACCCTGCAACCTGCTAAAGATGAGTTTGGATGACTTTACAGAAGAGAAAAAGCATCTTTTAAAATTCTCATTGCTTGTTCTGACTGATACTCATAATCTGTAGCTTGAATTTTGAGCGGTAAGTTAATGAGTCTAAATGGCTGAGCTTTCTTCTAGTGATCATCCTGATGTTTCAGATGATAAATACTACCTTGTCTTTGCATTGATTGGCTGCTTCAGAAGGATTCAGCAATGATTATTATCTTTGCTGCTTTAGTATACATATATTCATTGATTGAGGCTTCATTTGCGATGGCTTTCTTATTGTTTTTTTAAAGCAGTTTTCTAGTACAAAAATTTAAATTTGTGTACTAAAAAGCTGCTTTAAGCAGCAGTAAATAAGCCGCCCCAAATGAAGCCTGAATCATTAACAGATGGATTCCATATTTAGAAATTTGTAATAAATTATACCTTCAAAATGATGCTTTTAAACCATGAATTTGTGGGACTTGTTGATCAAGCTTTTTAAATTCTCAAAATTAAACAGTTTGTTACATAAAACCATTTTTTCTATATAGTTTGTATTGTTTTATTTGGCATATGAATATAAAACTATGCATGCTCATTCAAAGTTTATATTTCAATGCATTGATCAGGATTTTCATTATCATACTGCTTATTAAGGACATGAAAACATTTTATTTATAGATTATACATTAAATTATAGCTTCAATGTCAAGAAATAGATAAGCTTACGATTTAGTATATATAAATAATTTCTAAATTTCCCCATAAATGTTATCAACTTTATTCATATTTGTAAAATCATTAAAATTAATGGCTTCAAACATTATTAAGATTTTTTCATAAGTTCATAAATTTAAATAAATTAGTACTTGCGGATGCTAGTCAAAAATATTTTTAGAGGATAAAAATTGGCTATTTTAAAATTAATCAATATTTTTTAATAGATTACGCCAAAGCTCTAAAATTTTTTTGGGGATAAAACTTTGAATTTTCTTGATAATTTTATATTTATAAAAGTAAAAATATATGATTTATATTAAAATATTTTAAAGTCTAGGAGGAAACACGTGTGGCCTCATGCTCCCCTTAAATTGGCCCTTGCTTGTGCCATTTGAGGAAATTTATAATACATGAATGTTTCATGACATTTATGGCCTATATAGATTGCTTGGATCACTTTTTTAAAAAGATTATGTGAATGCTTCACCAAAAAAAATTATAATAATAATTAATAATAATGATGATCATGCCTATCCCATATCAAAATCATAGAAGAACAAAACTAAATACATCACAGTTGATCAGTTAAGAGATTAAACCAATTACAACATACAAAACAAAATGAAAACATTCATAAAACATACCAATTTCAGTTTCGTTTGAGATGGCTTTCTTACAGCTTCTTAAACCTGCTCTTTAGTATAAAATTTATACTAAAAAAAGTTGCTTTAAGAAGTAATAAAAAAGCCATTTCAAATGAAGCCTAAATCTTGATTCATGACTGACTCAAATCTTGATGTTGTTGTGACATATGTGCTTGGAGGACTGATAACATCTCATCCAAATCACATTGCATGAACCATAATGTCTTTAATTGAACGATTGGAATCAATCCAGTCCTTTAATTTATTTTATGTTATATCACAAAAATACTGTAAAAAAGAACTGCAAACTCTTGGCAACAAAGCAATCATCAAAAGCCATCAGCATCAAACTTATTTCCTTTCTCAGTGGTGCCCACTTCAATCTAAATAGTAAGTGAAAATTGATCAGCGAGGTTTCAGCACATGGAGAACCTCCCTTTCTCAGTAGTCTTCATACTGCCAACGCTCCTGTGCACTTACCCTTATAAAGCTAAAAGCAAATTAATGTTCAACTCCCTCCTTAAATTCTTGATTCTTTTTTACACTCTACTGCTGTTGGTTAAGCTGCTGCTATATCTGGCAGCCTAAACAAACAGATCAAATGGTAGAAAAAATAGATGGATGTTTCATTTGATAGTGACAGATTTTGGACATTATATGGCTCAGATTCTTTTATGTTTCAGGACTCCATTAATTCACAGGAGTTCAAGCTTTCCAATGTAAGGAGGCAAAATGGTGTTGTATTGTTAGAGCTGTTGGGGTGGTTGGTATTTAATTGCTGAGTATATCCACCTTCTCTTGATTTCAGCCATTTGAGGCCCATCCTCTTCTGCGTTTCTACATTGTCCAGAATTTGTGAAAGTTCAGCAGAAGGGAGATAGATGTAGAAGAAGGTTTGTTTACCTAAGGGAGAGTTGAGGAGGGGAGCTTGGACTGAACAAGAAGACAAGCTTTTGTCAGATTTTATTGAATCTCATAGTATTGGAAGATGGAGAAGCTTGCCAGCCAAAGCAGGTAAATTTCTTATACAATTTTTATGTTTTCTTTTGAATTTTTGATTACTTGCTTGGTGATAATTTGAAGGCTTGAGCTTTGTAAATAAAAAGATTCTTATTGCTAAATAAAAAGACTAATCAAGATTACAAAATGATAGGAAAAGGATCATTGTTCATAATATTTAAAAGAAACTTTCCAATCTCTTCTTCTTGTTGGATTTGAAAATGCTGTGAACGAAATCAAAGGATAAATCAGACAGAAGATTATATACAAAGAAAACAGAGATTTTGTGATTTGAAGATCAATCATATTCAACATCTTGAGATTCACCCTATCCTATAATTTGATCCCAATTTTTTTACAGCAAATTTATGAATTCATTTATTTATATCTTTGTCTTCCTACTTGATCTTCATAGAAGAAAGCCTTTTTAACCTCAAGTAATACTTAAGGAGCAGCACTAATTGGTAGTGTTTACTAAAACTTCTCTTGCTTTTCGATTATTGCACAATTCCTCAGGGTTGAATAGGTGTGGCAAGAGTTGTAGACTGAGGTGGCTGAACTATCTACGACCAGGAATCAAGAGAGGGAACATTACCTATGAAGAGGAAGATCTCATTATCAGGCTCCATAAACTTCTTGGCAATAGGTAGGTCTTTATGTTGAAGCTTTTTGGCTAGCTACATTAGGATAAACTTATAAAATACTTATATAATTTGATTAATGTCTCAATTAGCTTATTTGATTCATTTACAGGTGTCCTCTAATGTCATGTTATTAGCAAACTTTAGCTGCTTGTTTTCAAGGCCTCTTTAAATAATAATTAACTAAAGTCATGCTTCAATCCTATTATATTCTAATAGCCATAAAAAAAAAGTTTAAGATGATAATCACCATTCATCTTGTTAAAAATAAAATTCAATGTGTTTGCTATATAGATATCACTGTTATGACAATGGCTAGTTCACTTCTACCATGCAGATGGTCTTTAATAGCAGGAAGGATTCCAGGAAGAACCGATAATGAAATCAAGAACTATTGGAACACATATCTCAAAAAAAAGGTTGCCATTGATGCCTCTGAGAGCCAATCTTCTTCCAAAACTATCACCACCACCACAACCATTACTTCTACTACAATGCATCTCTCAATCAAAAAGTCAGGCAATCAGAATGCAAACAAGAGAATGAATGAAGGATCGGAAACTAGCATGGTTAAATCCAAGATAATTAAGTGTTCAAATGACTTACCCACATATGAAACTGAAGATTTGAATAAGAATAATTCATTTAGTCATGAAGAACATCTAACCATGAAGCTTCAAGGTCATGAACAAGTTTGTCTTCCAGCTTCTGCTTCATCTGACTTTGGTTTTGGTCTGGAGTTAAGCTTTGGTGAGTTAAGTAACAGTTCAGTTTTTTCTGATTATGAATGGAAAGATGTCAAGAGTATTGCTAGTCCTTCAGTAATAGGGGATGTTTTCAACAGCAAAAGGATGGAAAGAAATGAGAAGATGCACCCTTTTATTGCAGAAGTTGAGTGGGAGTCTTTAATCAAGTCATGTGAAGCAATATAAGGTTTAGACATCGTGTCCAGCTCTACTTGTAATAATTTGAAGTTTCATGAAAGAATAATACAATATTGGTAAATTTCCATAATGATTTGCACATTAATGGTATACATCATCCATGCTTCATTCATGAGAATTACCAAGGTTCTCTTTCTATCCCTCTCTTTATTTCACGAGTGATAAGGTTCCCAAAGAAATTCTCTATCCTATGAAAATCATGAACATTCAAGCCACCCTCTAAAAATAAAATCTGTCATAAAAAAAATTAGGTTAGGACATTCTAACCAAAATTTGGCTATAATAAATTTAAATTCGCTAAATTTGTTTTGAGAAAAATACTATACAAACTCTCAAAGGAAATCCAATGGATTTGAAATTTTCTTGGTATGCCATCAGAATTTGCCCAAAAAAAAAAGAAAGAAAGAAAGTCTTGGAATATCTACCATAAAAAACTGGTTTTAAATTTATTATTTATTCTCATAAATTATTTTAAATTCACCATAAAAAACACCTTAGCATGGAGATTACCTACCATATTCAAGAATGCATCCTGCTTAAACATAAAAGACAAAGAAAGGAACACATATTAATCAATCAAGTATGAGCTTGAGCTCCAACTTAATTTTACTAAATTTGAATCAGCTCACAAGCCGTTCATTAAAAATAACAAAATATTTATATAATTCAAATAATTATTATTATAATAAAATGCTTAAAAAAAAAAATGAAGAGAGATAATAAACAATCACTTGACATAAAAAATGAGATAATTTTAAGTATTTTTGATAAAACTATGCCTAAACATCTAAATTCTAATATATTTTAATTATATTTTATATTCATATTTTCTAAACAAACTTGCTCACAAGCCAATTAGTCAAGTCAAGCTCGATTTCTTGGCTCAACAAACTCGACTCGCGAGTCATTTATCAAACCGAGCTCAAGCGGATTCAAAAGTAAGCTTCACTCACTTACAACCCTAAATACAAATTATTATATGATCTAATAAAATTTTAATTAGATTTATGAGGTTAAAATTATTATTTGTTTTATATCAAATTAAGAGATTAGCTCAATGGCATTTGATAGAGATGTAGTGAGATCTTGTAAATGATAATTTGGCTCCCAAGTCTTTAGAATTCTTCTAAATCAAAAGGAGTGTCTTTTCTTTCAACCTGCTCAAATTTATGTAGCAGAAAACTAGCAGCTAAATTATTTTTCACATAATTTTACAACTAACTTTATAAAATGTTGCATTTATCAAAAACAGATCCTAAATCTTATGTGTATCCAAATAAACTCAAGATGTAACTTCAAAACAGACCCTAAGAATGGAGAGAAATTACATAAGGTGAGATTAAAGTAAACCGGTTTATATTTTGCTATTTACTAATTTTCATTCATACATTGCAAAACACGTGTTCCCTAAACCTCAGAACAACTAATAGCTTCTCTAGATTGAAAACAGTCATTTGCAGTAATACTAAACGACAATAAAAATGTAAAAAAAAAAAAAAGAATAGAAGAAACGTAAACCACATGTATGATCAAAGCAGAAGAAGCAGATAGAACTTCAAAGAAGAATATATACTTAATACTTCGTACCTCTAGGCCCTTTAAAAGCAATTTTCATTCCTGGCAGACATTACAAATAATACATGGTTAGCAAAATACAGTTCTAATATCAAGTTACTAGTACAAACAAAGTTGAGAGATACAAAAGAAATCCCCTGACACTAATATACTGCGTAGGAGTTAACCCAGCCTGTAACCAAATCATACAGCACAAAATTCTCTACCATTAGAGGTAGAGCAAAGACTTCATCTAGAAGAGGACTGAGCTAACATTTCCCTTCAATCATCTGCAAGATTTAAAATCTAGAAAGGTCAGCATATCATGTAGTTTGGTTGCTTAAAGTTAGGGGAAAATGTTTTGAAAAACTGTAATAATAATAATAATAATAATAATAGAATCTTTCATTCAGTTCGATGACATTAAAAATCAACCCCTTCAACGATTTCACTTTTACACGCTTGACTAAAGTGTTATTTGGGACAGCTTTCTTATTACTTTTTAAAGCAACTTTTTAGTGCAAAAATTTTGTACTAGAAAGCTGCTTCATAAAACAATAAGAAAGCCGTCCCAAACGAAGCCTAAATATTGGTTTGGTTGCTTAGAGTTAAATATCATGTAATGAAAATAATGATATTTTATTAAATTCATCATTTGGTTTATACAATTATACTTCAACATTGATTAAAAATTTCATAAACATCCATAAAACTGAATGATGCATCAATTTCTAAATATATTTTCTATTTGTAAGCAACCAAATGAGCATTTAAACAAATTTCTACACATGCGAAGTCTAAGTTGGAGCAGATCTAGTTGAGATCACTGTCAAAAAAATTCAAGGAGCTCTTGTAGTTCCTTTTCCTAGATGGCTTGCTTTTCAATTCCCCTTGTTAATAGTGTTCGCAGTACAATTTTGTTTTTTTCAAATCTCTCCTCCATCCATTGTTAAAATCAAGCCGTTGGCTATCTTTCTCCTCTACCTATTCTTTAATTCATTGTGCTGATGCAGGGAGGGACGGCAGAATGGTAAACACTGCCATTGATATCCATGGTATTTAAGACTGTAAAAGAGCCAGAAGTTGTTCGGGCATTGAGCTCGTTTATCAAAAGCTTGCTTGAGCTCAGCTCAAACTCAACTCGAGCATTTGTAAGTGTTCAAAATAGTTTTGTGTGCATTCATATTTATTTGAGCTTGATTTGACCTCGAATAAGTTTGTGATTATCGAACTTTACTTTAAACAAGCAACTCAATTGAAAATATCAACGAGCCTCAATCAATCCAAGATCATTATTCTTAAGAAATCCAAACTTATTTGATTTGTTGAAAAAGAAATGCAAAATAAAAATAATATGGTGTAAAATGAATAGTGTATTTGAAATGTTTGAACTTGTTTGTATGAGTATAAAAGAAATACTTGAGATTACTTTTTTGTTTAACTTAAGTAAAATAAATGTAGTGACAAGTAGCTTAATTGTGAAAAACAAGATTTTGCTCAAAATTAGAAGAGCTTCCTTGTCCTCAAAGATGAATTAGAATGATTTACACTATATTAGAATAATATACATTGCATTCCTATTTTATCAATGAAACACAAATACTTTCAAGACGCCTGCAAAAAGAATACTTTGCATCCACTTTACTTCAAACCAAACAATCCCTTAATTAATAGAGAAGTCTTCTACTTTTAAATTTATTACATTTAACAAGAAAGTAATTTAATTTTAAAATAAGGTCAGGATTATATTTTATTTTTAGTCATAATTTTATTTTGAGTTGTAACTCAATTAAAAAATAAGTTAGTTCATAAAATGTTATGTTGTCCCATATGCTCACATACGTGTGAAAAAGAGGAAAAATCAGCGATTTTAGGGACGTGCGTCACTTGAAAGGTCAAACCACCTCCGATGGCCAAACGGATTGTGTCGTTGCGATTAGAACATCGAATTTACCCAAATGGAACCAGCTCATGATGTGGACTATCCTAGTCCAACGGATCACTACAACAGCAACCCAGCTCCTTCCTAATGAACCTACTGCCTCCACTACCTCCCTCACCACTTTTAACTATCACTCTATTTTATGTTTTGATGCATGTGCCGTATAGCTACAAATTTAGGACGTTACCAACCCTTTTAAAAATACTCTATAGCATTACAAGTCATTATATATAGTTACTGAAATGTATGAGAGAATATTGATAATGAATATTAACACATAGACAAGGTTTCTATACTTCCTGCTTCTTGTTTTCCCTATTTTTGCTCGAGGTTGTTTGCGGATCCACACCATATTAGTATCAAAACTTGGTTGTTAGATTCAATTGCGGAAAGTATCAAACACTCCACTCTCGATGACGATCGGAGTTTGGAAGCCCTGTGGGCTGCTCAATCGAACATTGCACATCAAATGGAATTACTCATTACTGAGTTCTTCCGGTTCTCTATAGAAATTCGGACGAAGATCTGATGTTTGAGAACAAATCAACCAAATCAAGCAGTGGGTCGACTATTGGCGCCGGCAACCATACCGGCACATCATCAGCACCATGCTCGACGACCACCTACAGCGATTCCAAGTGTTTCGGACTCTGAGAATGAAGTAGAGTTACAGCAGCAGCTAGATGCATCGGATTCAGTGAAGGAAGAATGCCCACATTACTATGGTCATCTGCGACGTCAACCAGTGAAGCACCGTCAGCAAGGAGAATTTCATGTGAAATTAGACATCCCTTTCTTTGATGGTCTCTTACACATAAAAGACTACATAAATTGGGAGCGGGCAGCTGAAGCTTTCTTCATTTACATGGAAATAGCGCCTAAAAAATAAGTCAATTACATAGCATGTCTTTTGAAAGGTGGGGTTGGAACTTGGTGGATACAACTCCTACAGTCAAGGAGACGTGAAGGAAAAGGCAGCATAACAATCTGGTATCGGATGAAACAATTGCTGCGAGGGCATTTTCTACCTAGTGGCTTTGAACAAATGCTTTACATTCAATACCAACATTGTTCTTAAGATAGTAGAACGATAAATGAGTATACGAAAGAATTTTACAGATTGAGCGCCAGGAATAACTTGAATGAATCTGAAAATCAACATATGGCGCGTTATATTCGGGGGTTGAAATAATCTATTCTGGACAAGCTAGAACTAAACTTAATCTGGAGCTTGTGTCAAGCAGTGAATTACGCTCTCAAGGATGAAATTCAGATTAATCGCCATCCATTGGGCCACGTAGGACGCCGTTATACTACTGATCCAATCGGGGATGTCACCAAGTAGCCAATAACTAGTGGAAGCAAGCTAGCGACACCGCAGCCAGGGAGTACGGGTGTGCTCGATGACGAACCGAAGTCGGCATATCGCCAGAAGTTTCTAGCTAAGGAGAATCCTTATGCTAACTCGACAAACTTTAAATGCTACCACTGTTTCCAGTCGGGACATAAGTCTAATGATTGTCCTAATCAATAGCCGCTTCAATTAATAGATGGGAAGCCATAAGGGGATTATCAAATTGCAGAGACTGTGAATGAACAAGATTTTGAATATCTTCAGACAGATGAAGGGAAGCATATAATTTGTGTTATGGAGAAACTTTTATTGGCACCTCGCCAAGCTGGTAATTCTCAACGACATTCCATCTTTCGCACTCATTGTACCATTTACGGAAAGGTTTGCGACATGCTCATAGACAGTGGATGCACAGAGAACATCATTTCCTAGTCCGTATTACAAAAACTACAACTCAAGAAGACAAAAAATTAATTTGTATGTAGGGAATAGAGGAGAGCGGGAGGCAATCCTGCAACTTAGGTGAGGAGAGTGCGACTACAAGGAGTGAAGGTCGATGTGAGATTCACATGGGCCTTATGCTGAGAGGAAGAGATATAGAGACAAAGATATAAATTGGGTTTTCTAAGATTTTAATTTTGATTTTTTATTTTTTATTTTCTTTTTTAACAGGATGGAACAAGTAGCATCACGATTAGGGCAAGGATAAATTTTGATTATATAATTGATTTTATTTTATTTTAATGAATTTAATAAAAATAATATAAAAGTGATAAATAAAAAATCAAAAAAAGAATATGTGAATAGTGCTCGCATAATTTCTTATTTCTTGTGTGTCTCAATTTGTGTGCCATCACTTTGCCCACAAGCAAATTTGTGTTTCACTTTCCCTACAACAACACAAGTAATATGAGTGTCTTCTCTGGTAATTTCAATGTTCCAAATGTGTCAACATAGCTCTCTAGGCGAATCGACTAAGTTTAGGTGACTTCGCATAATGTCACGTTTGTAAACCATCATTTTCGTTGTGTTCAATTGAGTAGAGTGTTGAACGTGCTTTCTTGGTATTTTTGACACTATGGATGCATCAGTGCAATTTATTTTGTAAATGGGTAACATGCATAATTTCAATTGTATTCAAGATGCTTCGAACTCCTTTCAAACGATGTTGCAATAGTCGATCGTCATTCTCATCACATTTACTCGAAGCAATAATGGAATATATACGAAGATCAAAGAATTTCCGCTCCCCAAGTAAATCTGATATATGCATATAGTGAATCTTATTTGTTGCAAATTGGTTGATCATATGCATCTCCAATAGTTCTTTAGAATGTTAATTTGAGTACTTGACTTCATAGATTTCTTTTTAAATCATTCTTGAGATAAAGACTTGAGCTAAAATTATTTTTTTTATCTTAACTTCATGCATTTTGATGTGTGGCCTCTTTTCTAAAATATGTTTTTATTTTGTCCCCTTGGCATGAAAAAAATTCAACGAAAGGAAATCGGAAGAAATGTCATAGGGTATGTTTCTTGGCACGGACACCCATGCATACCTTTATTGGTATAGTGAGATAGAATAATCCAACCCCCCCCCCATTGCTTTGTCTTATGACATTGACTATGGATGTCATTCTTAGTCCGATGGCGCCCCTTACGCATGGAATATACCGGAAGGCTGTCGAAATTTAAATTGAGCAGACAAACAAAAAAAAGGACCCTAAATGACACATTTAAATAGAATGCAATTGAATAAAAGAAACTCAAGTTAGAACATGGCCCTAAACTCGAGCTTGCCTAGTGTTTGAATTTATCAATAAACATTTGGCTTCATAAACCTACATAATTAATCAATATCACGGGTTATAAAAGAAGGGTTACTTGAAATGGTCTCCTCAGGCCATATATAGGAGTTCAATTGCAATGTTGCTCAAGTTAGAAAGAAAGGTTTATGCACTGTTTCTCCAGTTCAAAGAACACTTGAGAAGCCAACGATGTGAGTGTTGCTATGGGATTTAATTGAACACTGATAGTCTGAAGATCTAAAACAGTCTCTCTCGTACTAGCACATGACCGCCTATATATATATATACACGATAGATTACTATAAAAGTTATCAGATCAAGCATAAATCTTAATGCAATATTTGGTTTAGAAACTATCAAAATTAAATTTAGGATTCAAATTTCGACTTAAGTAAACCAATAATTGACCAATAGCGCAGGACAAAGGTGGCAGCATCCAACAAGGCATGGTGCACCAACATGATGACAAAAATGAGGTAGGCCAGTGACCACAGCTGGAGGAGTATGACGGGAAGGACGCGATGATTGACGGGAGGCATTTGGACATGTCAATGTGAAGAATACCAACAAAAGGCTTCAAGGTGGTGTGGCTGAGATGCTATGAGGCTTGTTAAAATCAAATAGAGGAAAAAAATATGTTTGTTATATAGATGAATATTATATTATATTTTGGATTTTCGTGTTTAGAGGTTCGATAATAAGGAAAATATTATAACGGTGAAAAACAAAAAGAGAGGAATAATAAGAGCGAGAAAAATAAATAGAAGAATAGAAAAACTAGTAAGATAAAATTGGAGGGAAGGTATTTAAGTGCCAAACATTTTGCATTTACTCTTTGAACAGCTGTGGATATATACAAAATTCACAAAATTATGTAAATCGCTTTATCTCTTCTTTTTTTCTTTTTTCTTGTGTTCTTAAAAGTTATTTTTGCGTTTTTTGTTCACTGCACATCACTGCCCACTCACTGAAGCTTTACCCAACAAATAAAAGCCATTTTAATATGATATATTTCTTCCATGCAAGAACAAATCATGTGAAGGACTAATGCATATTGATGTCATAATCATGCAATAGTATCGTACTTGATGAGTTGACTAATAAAATTTATGCCTTTAACCCAGTTATAAATTTAGTTGGTCATATCTGATCACGCAGTAACCTTTTAACGTACTTGAAATAAGCTTTCGACATGCACAGAAGTCAGTACAGATTGCTTAAGAAATAAATGTTAAATGGGGCTTAGTTTTAATTATATGGCACTTACTTTTAAATGGTTCCCTATTTTTTAACCTATTAGTCCAGTTAAGCGTTGCCAGTATAACTACTTAGAATGCAAATGGACATAATTTATCAAACAAAACACGCACCATTTGGAGAGCAGCAAGTAGTGGTGGAGAAATCTGAAGAGGCCATTGGGATCGAAATCGAGAGCTGAGTAGCAGAGAAGGAATTTCTCTCTGAATGCTCGTCTTTCAAGTCCAGCCATGATTCCCTTGCCTTGGGCCACTCATTAAATGCAGTCCCAAGACCCTGACATTCCTGCTTTGCTGGGTCGGGTAAGCCAAAATTACTTTTGAAGTAGGAATGCAGCTGCTCCTGCTGTTTTGGTATTGATCTCATGGTTACTTCATTCAGATTTTGCATTGCATGAAGCTGGGATGAATAATGGCCATATGGATTACTGGTTTTTCCTTTTGAGATGGAAAACGAAGGGACTTGGGATGGCATGAGGCCCCATGAGTTATCTGGTGAAGAATTCACGCTGAGGTCAGTCTGTAAGCTTCCAGGATATTCCGAGAAAAAGTTGTGCTTATCCAGATCAATCTTAGCTCCATGAAGGTACCTGCAGTAAATAGTTAGGGGAAAGATGACAGAGATTTCTCTTTACAAATTCTTTGAGTAAATGATAAAAAATAAATCTTTAAGTGTATTCATTTAAGTCTAAAACTGTTATAAACATTCAATTTAGTCCTTCAACTCATTAAATATAAATCATCATGCCATCAATGTTGTAGTTTCTTTGAAGTTTGGATAAAATTAGGCAGAGGAAAGCTTTCCATGGGAACATTGTAGACTTTTAAAAATTAATCCATCATCTCAAACTAATGAGATTGGTCTTAAAAAATCTAAAATGCACTCATAAAAACGCTTTTCTCCACCAATTTTTATTCAAAGAGCGACAAAGTTGATGGTAGGACCAAAATTGTTGAAATCCAGTGAGTTGAAGGACGAAATTGAACAACAAAAACAACATCAAGCCTTTATTCCACAACGTGGGGTCGGCTACATGAATCCTTTTTCTCCCTGTCCTATTAAAAGTCAAAGAAGGACGAAATTGAATGATAGAAAAAAAAATTAGGGATTAAAATGGACACATAAAAAATCTAGAGACTATTTTGATCATTTATTCAATTATTTTTTGAGATAATTTAAGAGTCACCTGCCAACACATAGTTCAACTGTTATATAACACTACGAGCCACTGACATTAATGAACGAGTAAGATGTTAAATAATACTTCCAAATGGCTACAAGACATCTACGCATGACTCCTGCTTTCCGTGGTCAGGTATCAACCGATATTTTTTATCTACCAAAGCCCATGCGACCAACAAAATGTAAACAAATGAGAACACGATGGCCTACGATGTGAGAAATTTTTTCAATATATATATATTCATTTTTAAAAAATTAATATTAAGGACATTTGTATGTGATTTAAAGATCTAGGCTTTATATAAATAAAAAAAAAATTATGTATCAGATATGAAAATATATAAGAATTGAGTGGCATACATATAAATCCCCCCAAAAATTTTAAGAATAGTGGAGATTAACCTGTACTCTTTGCCATAATGTTGAGAATCTGATTGCAGGTGAGAAGAAGCAGAAGTGCCTGAACAAAGACCCTGAGTTTTGCTTGCACCAGTCATAGCAGATTGCATTGAAATGTTTTGGAAGCTTCCACTGCTCCCCAAAGCCACATGAGATGTAGAAGTTGAAGAAGAGGATATATTCGATTGAGACTGCTGCGGGGAGATGTTGCTTTTAGATTCCACATGCTTTCTTGAACGGTTGCGACTGCGGTGCATATGCCGCTCGCAATACTTGGAGTCAGGATGTGCATCCTTGGAGCACCGCCACTTCTTTCCATCAGTCCTCCTGCACCGCCCTGGCTCCGGGTCTAACTTCTTGCCGTAGTAAGAAAAATAGCCCACTGGACTCGAATCTATCAGCATTTTTATTGATAAAAACAAATAAATATCAGCTCAAACAAGACAATAAACAACAAAAAAATTACTTGATTTCATGGCCAACTCTCGGGAGAAGCTAAGAGGACAACATCTAAACTAGCAGAACAAGTAAAAAACATTCGAGCGGGAGAAAAGGTGATGCTGAATAAGAAATACTGAAGGACAAGAAAATGACTACAATATTAAATAAGAAAGTATGAAACAGTACCAGGCTATCACCCATTCCTAAAATGTAGAAAGAAAGGACCACATCCTATCGACAAAAAAAGAAGATAAATACTAAATCCAGACCAGAAACCCAGCAACTCAAACTCGGTAAGATCCTACAAATGATTCAAAATCGTCATAAGAACCGTATACAACAAAAGAAATTCTTTTGTTGATGAACACCAGATAGTGGTGATCAATCCCATGAGATGGCCGCAGCTGAGAGGAGAATCTTGACCACAAAATGTGCATCAAAGTCAGATCAAAACACAACACGAAAGAGCTCATCCAAAAGACAACAGTAAATTAAAATTTCATAAAATAAACTATAATAGAAGTGGTTAAACAACTAGTGACAGTTTCCAAACCAAACAAGACGAAATATAAATTGTAATGTACATCAACCCAAAAAGAAGCAACCCTAGATTATATAAATATAAAATTAGCATTTCTATCTCAATAAAACTGTAATCTGAAAACCATTGTTATCTAAATAGTACTGCTTGAATGAACTAAATAGGCAAAATGAATTTTTAGCTAGTGAAAATTAGGGAGGGGAAGTGGACACTAATTACCTTGGATGGCCGCAGCAGTATTTTTTTCTTTTATTTTCTTTTTTTGAAAGTTTACATTTTGTTGGCCGAGATATCTTGTAGCCATTTGGGAGACAATAACAAAAAAATGCAAAAAAAAAAAAAAACCAAAAAAAAAACGTAGAAAGTAGCTCAATCATAAAGCAGATGCAGATTAAAAACCTATAAAATGCCCTACACCATAACTAGATAATAGCACTAGTGTTAGTTTCCAAACCAAACTTGAGCTGTACATCCACCACAAAGCAAGATCAAAGCGACAAGATAACATGCGCAACAGATTTGGAAGCGAGCGCTAAGAAGAGAGGCGAAAGCTTACGCGCGGGATAATGATGGTAGAAGCGAGACGGCAAGGCCTCCAAGCTTCGTTGAATAGGGATTAGAAGATCCGGAGGCACTGGAACTCCTGCCACCAGATACTTAAAGATCAGCGCCTGGTGCTCCAGTTCCCGCCACTGCGCCGCTGTGAACGGTTGTCTCCATCCCATCTCCGCCGCTACAGCCGTCGAAGGCATCTGCATCCACCCCTTTCCCCCCGACCCCGCCGCCGCCATGCTACTCATCTCTTCGCCTACAGGAAGAAGAGAAGAAGAAAGGGGGAGAAAGAAAATGGTAAAAAATAATGAGAAGTGAAAGAAGAAGATATGTGAGCTCAGAAGAGCTAGAACACGGGAGTAAAGTTTAGCTTCTCGTTTGCCATTTGCAGTAAGCGGCGGCGGTTGCGGCAGAGAAGAAAGAGGAAGATTGGGGGCGGCGAGGGCGGATAAGAAATTTATAGCAGGGAGGTAGGGGTAGTTTCGGAACTCGATGAAATTATGCTTTGCATCGTCATTGCAATGTAGTATTGCCGCTGTTTGGTCTCTCTGAGGGGATCCAAAGTACCATTATTGTTGAGGGATGGAATTCAAATTTAAAATTATTTTTAGCTATATATTATTTATTATTTTATTAATTGATTAAGCTATTTATGTATTATATAAGATTTGGGAGATCTTCAACTCAACCACTATGTAATTAACTTTGAGAAGACATTTGCTCAATATTAATAATATTACAAATATATATATAACCATCCGAATACTCTCCACGTAAGGGTCGCGCCGATTGAGTACTGATGATAAATCTTAAAATCTACAACTAAAATAAATACAAGATATTAGAAACAACATGCATATAATCAGTCAATATATTCTTAACAATATGTGTAGAATGATTAAAATTATAACATATTAAAAGTTGTACGATGGAATTTTGCTAAAATTTGAGGCCTCGTAAATTTCATAAATTCTAATGAAATGAAAATTAAGAAAATATCAAAAAAGCAAAATCAGTGAAATCAAATGTTGATAAATGTAACATACCACGAGTAAAATTTTCAACAGAACTAACCAGCAAAAACGGCTCAAGACCTACAAATCCTAGCTTCTATGTCCTCTCTCCTCTCTTTTTCCCCGTAATTTTCATTTCTCATTCTCTGGTTAAAATGAATAAGGAAAAAAGTAATATGAAGAGTTCTCCGGTGGAAAAGAATTTTTATAATAAAATAATTAAGGATATATTGGTAATTATATAATTTGTTCAATTTTTAATAAAAAACTAATATAAAATTCAATTGTACTGATACATATTAATTTCTTAAGAAATTATAATTAAATAAGAAACTTTTTATTTTTATATCTACACTATCTATATAATTAAGAAAAAAAATATTATAATTAGAGCGCATCAACATGTATGATATGGCAAGATGACTTGCAAATTGAACTTATAATGATTCTTAAAATATTATTTGATTATTGTATGTTAAAATATATATTGCAGAAATTTAAGTGTCATTATACTTCACATTTCGAAGACTCACTTGGGAAAGCATTTGTGGAGTGGCAACGTTCATAATGGGAGCTCACTAGGGTGGCAACGAAGGGACCAACGCCGTGTAAAGGAATAGGAGTTCGCATTTGCCTCTTGTTGTGTGAAAACATCAACGAAAGCAATGGCATGTGAAGGAAAAAAAGAGTTCGGAATAAGAGCTTGTTTGGGACATGCTTTGATTGGATCGCCAATATGGGAAGGCAATGATGGTTTAGATTACGTATAAGGGCAAAAGAAGTTCATAAACAAAGTTTTCTTGGAAAGGTGTCAACGTGTTGTGGGACTAACATCATATGAAGAAAAAAAAAGAAAATTGAGATGGGAGCTCGCTAGCACTAGGCTTCTTCGGATAGAAAACATGTTAGGAGAAAGGGGGTTTATGGACGAAGCTCATTAACAGAAGCATAGAGACTAATAGTGTATAACGACACTCATTATGGAATGCATCACGGGACTAATGCTTGTGACGATAAGTATTTAACAAATATTTGAATAATCAACCTTACTCACCACAAATTTTAATAAGCAAAGAAGTAATTTTTATCTGAAATAATTTTTTAAACATATTTATTCAAGAAAATAAACAATAACGATAGTAAGACCAAAATTCTCTCTTCTAATTACAAATACATTTATAGTTATTATTATATAAATATTTTAAATACATGTATTACCATCAACCACAAATCTATCCGTTGCCTGATTTCCGTTACAACCCGCCGCGCCAATCGACAAAAACCTAATTAGGGCAAAGGAGCAATAATTTCCGAGTTAAGGTGATAATCGATGGAAAAATAACACACCTGCTTCTCCTAATTTCCTCGACTCCATTAGAAGCAGTGTCTCTCTCTCTTCCCGGGAAGGCCTCGGCAAAGAATTACAGTATGGCGAAGAAGGAACCCTGTCGGCCAACCCTCTTCAAATGCTCCGTTGCAACACTCCTCTGCTTCTTCGCCACCTCCTCCATCTTCGCCAGCAACCCCTCTTCCCCTGTCCCTATTTCCGTAATCTCTCTCTCTCTCTCTCTCGACCCGGCGCATAGGTATTGCTGGTAAACTGTAATCTAGTTTCAATTGCAGGACGAGGAGATAAGCGAGAGGAAGCAGGCTTGCTATGCCGACATTGATAGGTATTATTTTGAAATTTTATGTTTTTTTTAATATTAATTACAACGTCAAGCCCAGGATCCTTTTTTTAATTGAAAAGGTTTTCTTTTCGATCTTCCGGTTTTATTTTTGATTTCCGGTGGAGAAGTGGGCTTTGGGGAACCCAATGTAGGTCTACGTTGATTGAGAAGGAGAATTGCGCTCTGAAATGTACCTCTGCTGTCTGTTATGAGCTCATATATGGGAGCGATCCAGTGAGATTTTCATCAATGTTTGATAGTATTACTTTCCATAAACTGTTTGACATTTTCGTCTTATATATGTATATTTGTTCAGCTGGAAGAAGGAGAGAGAGACTATATAAGGAGCCAGGAGTATCGATACTGCATGCGAAGGTAGGAATTAAACTCAATTGTATTTTATCTACATGAAAAGTCAAGAGGAGTAGATGTTTTAGCTGAGTAGTAAAATGGTATGTGCACCAAGTGCTTTCAGTTTTTAGTTATTTAAATGCATGTTGATGTCATAATGAAACAATATTTTTCAATTACAATTTATGATTATTGACTCTAAATGGTAATATATATTAAGTGATTGAGTTGAAGTTGTTTCATGATGCTGCTAAGATTATTTTATTAAGGGACTGTTTGATTGTAAGTATACCTAGTATAAAGTAAGTACACAGAGTTTTGAAATTTTGGTTTTTAGTTTGAAGAAATGCAAATGCGGAGTAAAATAGCAGTGCATTTGGAGTTCCCTATTTAGTTCATTTTTAATGAATTTGAAATTTATCTTATTTGGGTGAATTCTAAATATACCGCTTGTGTGAAGTGATGCCACAACCGACTGCCATTGCAAAACGCAACCAAGCCGCAACCAACTACCCAATGATGGCAACCATACACTTTCAGCCACCACCCACCATTGGCCACCACTCGCCGTGGCCAGTGGTCGTCTTCCACCACAACCACCACCCATTGACTTCCCACCAGCCGCTCCTCCATTTTCGTTGCCACATTTTACATTGAATTAACTATATTTTTTTAAAAAAGTAAACCTCTATATTTGTAGTGTACTCAACCAAACAAGTCAAGAATATTTTTAATATTCTTCTTTTATTTTATATTGTATTTCATTTTTAGCAAAACAAACAGGCCTAAAGATATTTAAATCACACTTCAGATGTTTTTTTTTTCCTGAAAGTAAAGAAGATGCAACATAGTATCATATTGTCAAAATACAATAGGTAAATGATTTATTCATCGTAAATTATGAAATTTGAAAAATAACTAATAAAATAAGATTACCATGAGCACAGATAAAATGTGTGACTGCGATGCTGAATAAATTTTACAAGCAATTTTTGAAATTACAATAATAATGTCCAGGGATATTGCTATGAAAGCATCATATGGATATTAAAAAAATAAAGATGGAGAAAATGCATTTTTTTATTCGGTCAGGTGGATATTTAGGTTTCGTTTGGGACAGTTTTTTTATTGCTTCTTATATAAACTTTTTAATATAAAAATTAAAAGTTTTGTAATAGAAAGCATCTTTAAGAAACAATGAGAAAGCAACGAAGCCTTAAACTCTAATGTTACATGGCTTTATATATAGCACACAAATCTTAAGAAATTATTCCTTTAACCTAAAACTGGTTTTCAGATTTTCACGATCTTGCCAAAAAATAGCCAATGTTCCTTTACTTATGTTCAATCCATCTCAATTAAATGAGAAATGACATTTCTTTATTAGATTAAAATGAGAATTTGTGATGTAGGGAGAAAACATGAAAGTAGCTCCTAATTAAGGGCAAGAACACCAAAGAATTGTAAACTAATTTTCCAAAAATTATATCATATCATTGTCTCTTTACTATCTTCTACAACTTGTATATAACCACACAATAGAACTTTGTTTCTAAAAGAAACACGAATAAACTAGATGCAATAATCTTAAGGTATTCTATAACTAAAAATATTCTACATCAATTTGACTCTTAACAGAACACAATGAAGAAAAAGAATTCATATAGCCGACCCCATGTAATGGGATAAAGGCTTGATATTATTATTGTTGTATGTTTAATCCAAGTTCTAGCATCCCTATGATTCCTTTGTTTGTTGTAGTTATGGTCCCTTTTTTTTTCTTTTTAAATATTATGTTACATATATTGGTTGGCTGTCAAGTTTTCCAGCGCTGATCACAGTTTTTATTGTTGAATGTTTAATTGTGGATGACACAATATTCTAGTTTGCTTGATTCTTTTTCCACTGAAATTCTTCATATTGATTAACAAAAAACGCCTAAATGTCCAGTCCATTTCTAGAAACCTTACTAATACTGATTAACCAATTTCTTTTCTAAATAATCTTATTTTCTTCAGAACTTGATGCTTCTAAAGTTCTTGTGCCATATGTGGTGGCATCACATGGAGAAATTATTCCGTGTGGAGTCCGGACGGTAAAGAATCGTTCGGATGTGAATGTATTCAGTATTTTGTACACAGTATATAAAAAAAATCAAATTATATACAAATATAATCAATGTACACACTGTATATACTCACATCCAGACGATTTTTTACTATTCAGACTCCACACAGAATAATTTCTCTGTCACATGATACAGATTACATTATATATGATGACAAATTTTCATGGCAATACAAGTGCAGGATGTGCTGAATCTTGTAATATTTTTGTGTCAGATCATCAGTAGGATTGGCGCTGGATCAAGTGAAGGGAGCGTTTGATAACGATGTAACTGTGAGACCTGCTGCTTTCTCTTTGCCAGGGTCAGTGAGAATCACACACTAACTAAATATGAACTTGCGTTTTCTATAGAAGGCAGAGTACATAAAAGAAATTATCTTCACAGCTTTCCCATAATTATATCAATATTGTCATATATTTTTATATCATTATGAGTGTGATATGATATATTATATAATAAATGTTACATTTTATATGATTTGGTACTTTTTTTTTTTTGGGACATTTAGGCCATTTAAGGCAAACTCACACACACAACGCATACACATAGACTCGAACCTTGGACCTCTTAGTTGGAAGCTTAAGCTCTCAACCAATAGGCCAAAGAGAGTTGTGTGATTTGGTACCTTGATAATACGAGAAGTTTTTTTTTCTTTTTTTTCATGATTTTTCTTATCTTCTAATATTACTTTATTGGAGCAACCCAATGAGTTAGATCCCCTGCTGATCAGTCTTTAAGCTATAATCATAATGTACGGGAGGTATTTTTGATTATTTTTTATGCTTAAATCAATTTTCATTTGTTATGGAAGATCGAATCTTGATCAGAATAGCATGAGTTTTCTTATGTTTTATTAGAACAATTGTATCAGCTTAACATCCAAATAAGAAGGTATATTAGATTTTGTTTTTTTAGCTTGAAATTCTTTAAAAAAATCATTGGCATAGACATTGAGTTAACTAATTTACTATTGTATCATATAATATAAATATTAAAGTTTCTATGCCCTCTTTGGTTAACTAAAAAAAAACAGTTATCTGCCTGCCTCAACTCCACCAAAATCAAAATTTTGGATTTTCCGTTGTTCATTATTATAAAAATTAAAAAATCTATAGTTTTAAATGTACAATATTGGCACAGCATAAGTTTGTCTTGCTATTATAATTTGATATTTCTAATATAGCAAGAAAAATAACTTTGTATTTTTTTTTTAATTGGGATATCTATCCGCTACCACCACATATGAAATGTATGACAGCATAATTAATTCCTCGACGAGCCTACTAACAACTAGTCCCACATTTATAGAACTCGCAGTTATTTTCTCCCCACTAAAAAGGTCACACCGCATAAGAGGGAGAAATCGAATATGAGTTGAGGGAGTTCCCAACCATGCTCACCTACTAACACACCCAAGCCTGGTGGTATAACTTGGTATTTCATGTTCAATAATTATATATTTATGTTTATTAGCACACTATTTCAAAAAAATTGTGCCAGAGGTTGCTCAAAAGCCAATCTAAAAAAAAAAAAATTTTGAAGGCATTTGAGCCATTAAGACAAACAAACATATATATAATACATACAAACTTTAAACTCAAAATCTCTTAACTAATATTCAAAACTCCCAACAACAAATTAAAAAGAGTTGCGGGAATCCAATTTCCATAAGATAGCTTTGGTCCATTGAAACTTTATTGTTTAAAAAAAATACTAAAAAGTTACATTAAAAATAAGAAAAAAAATTATCCAAAACAAAAATCAAGTCAAATCATCTCTCTTTTTCTCTTTTTGGACATTTAGGCCAAATAAGACTCAGACGTCACATATATACAAAATTCTCAGCTAACATATCAAAATGAGTTGTGTATCATATATCAATTTCAATCGTGAATCTAAAACCTCGGTAATTCTGCTCTCGTCCAACTTGAAAAGCATCTTGAAATGTCTCTGTTTAAGTTTTTTTTCGGGAGCTGAATTGCATCTATGGGGCCCCAACTCAACATGTCCAAGCTAGTGCTAACAACCAAGAATGAATAAACAAAGACATAAATATATACCCCAATAATATTGAATCTTGACCCACCTTCAAACCCTTCCATACACATTAAATAAATAAACAAATATTCACAAATAGAATAAGCTGTATGAAAGTAGAGACATTCATAGATTGGAAGATTAAAAACAAGCCACATATACTTATGGTTTTATCAAAGCATCATAATAATAATAAAAAAGTCACAAAAGAAACAAGTTGTTGCATCACATACAGACTATTTCCATGATCAGGTATTAGGTACCAGCAACAGAGCATATTATGATTCCTTCCTTCAGCTGTCAGAGCTGCTGGTGTTGGTAGTCTCACCAGAAGAGGAATCACTACTTTGCATTCTCATGATCTCATATGCCCACTCCAGGCCTGGGCAGTAATGAAGTGGAGGATTGAACCTGTTATCGTGCATGTCAGGGGGCAAGAAAGCTCCGTTCTCAATCAGGAATCTGACAGCATCCTTGTTCCTTGACTTGGCTGCGTTGTGTACAGGAGTCCCTGCATCAGTAAACCCTGAACTTAGTCAAGGCAAGTCATTACAAGGGAATACAACTTTGATTCAAAGTTGTTTAGTAACATCACTTACCTAAATTAGTTATATAATTTTCATATAGGGTATATGATAGGAAATACTTGAGTTCACAAGTAATCGTAAGGGTAATACTTGAGTTCGCAAGCAAACCTATCACCAATTGATGAAAAGCAGCGAGAATAATGCAAAATATGGGTGAAATCAGCCCCAAAATGATAGATTGCGGTAGGAAAATCAAAGCAAAACAAGAATGAAAACAAGATACAAGAGATGCTCAATTCAAGAGAAGGATCGTCTCTCCCAAATCTCTAGACAAGAGAGTCTAAAACCCAAGTCGCCAAAGAACCCTAATAGAGAACAAATCAAAATATAACCTCATCCTAAAATATGTCATGCTCTTTAATACATAAACTTTCCTAATTTAATTTCCCTCCCAAGCCCTAGCCGCCCCCTCCTCTTCAATTTTGAATTCAATTGAACTAGTGGGGCCCACTATTATGACCGGCAGGCGAACAACTCCGCCTCCTGTAGACCTAAAAGCCTTTGAGCCAGCTGGGTCAGTTCAGGTCGAACTGGCCTAACAGTATAATATTTGGAAACTCAAAAAAGTTTGCATTCCAGAACAGATTAGATTAAGCAAAACTTACAGCCACATGCGCCTTTGGTTCTAGCGTCAATGTTTGCACCATGTTCCAGCAGCAGGTCCATAACCTTGATGTGTCCGCCTTGAGCAGCAAGATGTAGAGGAGTCTCTCCCTGAGATTTTGGACCCCATGCAGGAATATTCACATCCATTCCCTCTTCCAGAAGACACTTCACCTACAAAAAAAGACAAAAGATAAACAGAAGATCAATGATTTCTCCATGACGGATGGTCCTAGTTCAGACGTCAACGGCAGTAAACAATAAAAAACTATTATATAACTTTTTTGTACCTCCCTGTAATATTATTATTCGCAGCTTAAAGATACTAGGTTAAGACAACAAGCATCTAACTTTAACCAAACTTAACATTAAAGGAAAAATTCTATTAGGGGATAGCTATATTGCAGTTTAATATCAATATTCATCATTTTAAAATGGAATTGTTTTTAAAAAACTATCTTTGCACTCAAGTATTGCTGAAGAAATAACTTGGAACCTGAGCTCAATCAAGCTTTATTTTTCATTCTTGAAACTATCTCATCATGCCTCCCAAGTTGGAATACATATAGGTATATTGTGTGGTACCCAAACATTGCAGGGAATGATCATAAAGAAAGATAAAAAAATTAAGTAAAAGCTTAGGTGCTTACCCTTACCATTTGTTAGCTAAGACAATGGTTTTCAACCTATCATTCTTTAAACTATCTACCATGATCCAGAGATGGAATAGTACGAAGATGGCATGATTACAAAAGTTTAATTCAATATTATGCGTGCTCCATAAATGCTGGACTAATAATGTTAGATCACTAAGTAAGCATTGTAAAAATGCCCAACATTTTTGCAAGTACAATTTTACAATCACCTCTTAAAAAGAAATAAATCATGTCTCAAGATCCATAAACTCAATCCTTCATTTAATTAGGCTTTCTATTAAGATCCGCATTTGACGCTAATCACAGATTAGCTAAATCCTTATGAACAAGTTCTATAATGTTAAATTTTGCCCGCACACTCTTTCTTTCCAGCTCAATTACACTAATTCTAGATGCATTGATTAAGAGTGCTTCTCTTTCCTTCCAATTTTATCATTTTGAACCAACAAGATTTTCTTTTGCAACAATTCTTGAGTCGTATGCCAAAATTGGTATAAGCTAACCCTTTAATGGCACTAGATGGCATAGGGATACTATCTCATCTACATTTTAGAGAAAAGATACCACAAGAATACATAAATCGCCCTTAATATTTAAACAAAGTTCAGCCAGCTTTTATTTTTGTCAAATAAAAGTCTCACCGAGTTGGATGCTCTAATGGGGGCACTCCTGAAAATATTAGTATGTATCAACTCGCCATATTAGCATCATGAATAATGAGGCAGGTGCCGTCAAAAAGGTAGCCCAGATCAGTTACTTCAGCTTGCTAAGGAGGAATGGTGTGGCTAAATAGACGACACCGAATAGGATATCCTATTGACCTACTAAAATTTGAAAACCAAAAGGAAATTTGACTTAATGCAGATGGAAGGTGTTGGCTTGAACTTTAACATTTTCTAAGATTAATGATGGAAACAAGCGATTTTTTATAGATTCTTTAGGCTTCGTTTGGGACGACTTTCTTACTGCTTCTTAAAACAGCTTTTTAGTATAAAATTTTAATTTTTATACTACAAAGCTGCTTTAAGAAGCATAAAGAAAGTTGTCCCAAACAAAGCCTTAGTTTCTAACTTTCCTGACAATTTTCTTTTGGTTTTCTATCTACATATTGATTGGTTAATAAAATTTAACTATACAATTTATCTAAAGCAATAGATTTTGTCAAGCAACTATCAATAAGATCCCTTTTACAGGAGTAGGTGGACTAAATGGTCAACTATTAAATTTTAAATCCAACGTAAATTTATTTCTTAGTTAAATCAATCAAAATCATGTGCACTATAGCCAAGTATAGTTTTACTAAAGTAATCTATAGGATCTTATTATTCAAAGAGATCAAAATTAAAAAGTGGACTAGATCCAATATAAATTTATTTCTTAGTTAAATCGATCAAAACCATGTGGGCAAGTATAGTTTTACTAAATGTCTATTGGAACCTATTATTCAAAGAGATCAATATTACAAGGTGGACTAACCCTGAAAATGTGCTTGATTAGATATCAGGATCTGAGTTCTCCATCAGGATCAGATATTCGTTAATAATTTAACAAACAAGTCAAATTTTATCGTAAGGACCATAAAAAATTAGCCATCAAGCAATTTTCCCACGAGGAAGTAGCATCAATAACAACAATGCCTCTCTAGCACAGCAATACCCCTTAAATGTTTAGTAAGAATAATCTTAAAAGCATACAATTTTCTTCGTTTAGTCTCCTAATTCCTAACCAATAAAACAGAAGAGCTTAACAAAATAACTTCCTTCAACCATAATTCATAGAAAAATATTAGCACAGATCGTGATTACGACTTATGAAACCCACACACTAAGCATAAAACACGCAAAAAAATTAATAATAATAGTAGTAGTGGTAATAAAATCCTAAACAAAAAAAGTAAAAGCACCTTTTTCAGGTCACCCTTCCGAGCACCGATGTGCAGCAGGGTCCAGCCCCTATCATCTCTGTCCCTGTCGCCTAGCCTGAGAGAGCGCCTATTTGACAGTTGGCGCCGAGGAAGTGCTCTCTGCGCTTGCAGCATACTAGGCCAAGTGTTCCCGAATTTCCAACACAAAAAGAGCAGAAAAAACGGTATCCGGATCGAAAAGAAGACGCCGGAAATTACCCGTATAGCAAGAAAAACCTAGAGATTCTGAGATGTTTTCTACAGAATATAAAGAAGCAAGCCCTAATATAACGTTAAAGAGAGCTTAGAAACGAGATGAAACGCTTACATGATCCAGTGATTCTTCAAAACCAAAGAATTAACGAGAAACGTAACCGATCCCAATACCGTTGGTCTCAAACGGATTCAAACCAGGGCCAAAGACACGGAGATTTTGAGGTGCAGAGAACGGAATAGCAATCGACGAGGGCATAACAATAGAATATAGGATCATAATGGAATGACACAACGAAGACAAGAAGGGAAAGCGAGAAAATATAAGAGGAACGAAGAGGGAACACAAAATAAAAGAAGAGATTTGACAAATAAGGCTCACAGGAAGAGGCGAACGGAAGGAATTCGTGGTGGTCTGCGCTTAAGCATCGATAATTTGTTACCAGATAGAAGCAAAAACCCTAACCTCACCGGAATCCTTTCTTTCAACGCTTCCTATCCTTTCCCCGCCCTCTCTGCTAAAATATTCGGCAAACAGGACGGAGGTTACAGAAGTAATCACGCAAATATATTATACTTGGTTGGGCCAAAGCGGCCCAATTAGAGAATAACCAGTCAAGACTGGATAAACGTGAAAAAAAAAGGACATGAAAAAAAAGGGATTTTTTTTTAAAGAGCACATATAAAATATATTTTTAGTAGTACAAGAATGTAAATTTTAAAATTTAAAATCTAGCAAACAAATCAAATAAATAGGTGCATTTTTTAAAATGTACAAAATGATTTAGAGCATTTTTTAGAATGCGCCAAATTATAGAGTCCATTCATCTGATATGACTGCTAGTCATGCTAAATGATAGGGGCAGATCGAGCCTTAATTTTTAGAGAAGAAAGTTATAAGTGTAGAGTTTTTTTCATAAATATCTTTACAACAAAATTTTTTTCTGAGGGCGCTACCTCTCAACCCCTGTGTTCATATCCTTGAACGTTGAGTGCTTCGTAAATATGTCGGGGATCTAAGGAGGCAGAGCCCTCTGGCGAGGATCGACCTGCGAGGGTTCATTGTGTTTAATTATGTTGGCGCAATTGCCTAAAGACCATCATTTTTAAAAACTTTTAGGGGGGGGGGGGGGGGGGGGGGGAATACCTAAAAAATTTTTTTAAACAATCAAAAAAACCTAAAAACTCTTATTATAAAGACAAAAAAATACATGGATGTAGATAAAATTATCTAAAGAATCATATAATAAAGAAATTTTTTATTTTTTCATGGGGGCAATTGCCCCTTTGGCCTTAAGATGGATCCACCCATACTAGAGGTCACATTTAATGGAATGCGTCATTCTATCTTACTAGTTTGTTTCCTTAAATTTTTTTTAATATTATACTCCTTTTTCTAATTTAAGTTTAAACCTGCTCTTTTGTAAAAAAAATTGAAAAAAACATACTCCATGGTAATTCAAAAAAAAAAAATCATTAAACAAATAATTGGTAAAATAAATAGAAAAAATTAGCACGATAAGAATTGTGATCGTCTCCGAACACATTTATTTCCATTAAAAAAAAATTATAGTTATATTTTTGCTTTATTTGCGTGATTTTTATGATATAAAGTTAGATTTGAAAAATTTACAATTCAATAATTTTCATTAATTTGTTATTTTTTACTTCAGAGTATTGGGTTATATTAATAATTATTTATATCTGACAAGAATAGTATTATAAAAATTGAAATAAGATTAATCTTCAATACTATATATATAATTTATTATTGCATACTCTAGCAGATTTTATAATCATACAAAAAAATAAAATTTTGGTTTGTTGTATGATAAAAGTTATTTTTTTAATACTGAATAAATAACTTTAGCATTTAAAATAATTTTTGATGGTATTTAAATTAATTAAAGATCAGCTTGGGATAACTTTCCAGCTATTTTAATTTTTCAAATATCAATTACAATTTCATTTGGTTATTATTTTTTTATTATTTTATCATGACTTTTCAAAATTTTCTACTGTTTTAAAAAATAATCTTTGGAACCATAAATTTTAATTTATTTTCCCAACAACAATACACAATCAACTTTATAAAAATCCAACTTTACAACTTGACTTTATTGAACACTGCAACTATCCCAAGCAAATCCTAAGTGTTGAAAGGATCATATCAGGATTTTCGGTGACAATTAAGATATATTTGGTTGTTTACATACAAAATTGAAGGCATAGATGTTAGAAATGGTGGGATGGTTTGGTTGGTAGAAAACTTGCGTGGAATAGAAGAGAGATATTTATTATGGGCCAACGATTTCTTAGAAATTTGGAAAGAATTAGGTTGAATTATGAGAGCATCAATAAGTAATTTCAATAATTTTCATTAATTAGGTTCAATTATGAATGATATGAGTTAAAATCAATAACAATTCTGTTGAAGGAAGAGGAATCAAATGGCCTAAAATCTTTGTGTGATGAAGATGAATAGGATAGTTCTTCTCTTGAAAAGAAGAGGAATTGAACAAATCAGAGTTGACAGGCAACAAAGGTAAGGGTATATAGTGATATGTTATGGCAGCCAACATTAATAAAATCTCTAATCAATGAACAAATTATATCATTTAAATGAAATATACGATTCAATATGTTGAAGTTTGCATTAACATGAATAATTTCAAGAAGATCTACAAAGCAAATCCGAGGTGCTAAAAACAATAACAATGACACTACTTGAATTATTTTATGTATCAATCATGCAGAGATTATTGGATCTACACCTCGACACATGAATCAAATGCATGCAGAGATTACTGGACCAAAACGTGTGAAATCCCCATCACCTCATCATAACTAGGAGACATTATTAAACGTGGACAACAATCGTAAAAAATTGGGGTAGAAAGTGAGAGCACACAACTACAAATATAAATTTTCCGTTTGGAACAATTTTTTTACTGTTTTCTAAAATAAGCTTGCTAGCACGATACTAATAATAACTTTAAAAAATAATAAAAAAATTGTTCCAAATGAAGTCTTATGATTCGTTTGGGAACACTTTTCTGTTTTCAAAGATGTTGTGTTTTGACCGAGTTGAGATCTGTTTTGTGTTTTCGTAGTCGAATTTTTGACGTGATTTGAGATTGACACGACTTTCACCGCACAACTTTTAGAGTGTTATAGATATGATTATTCTACACGATTTGACTGTATTCTACGAATTTTCTTCCGGTCGGAATTGGTTCTACGCGGTTTTTATCGGATAGAAAATTATCAGGATGTTTTCTGACTTGGTTTCTATAGAATAAAAGTCTTGCAATGATGTTATAGATATTCTATTGTAATTTGGTAGAATTTGGAAATCGTGTCTTTTTGCAGGATTTTTGTGTAAATTTGACCGACTGCCGTTACGCTGCCCGATTTTCGTATGATTTCCGAATTTTCTGAAATTGATAGATTGAATTGGAATGTGTATGACTATTGATATGATTGTACTGGATTGATTTAATATTGTTTATTGCATCGATTATGGATTGATTGTTTTATGAATTGATTATTGATTGACTATTGATACTGGAACCCAAGTGGAACCTGGTTGAACGTTGGTGAAGATTGGTATTGACCTGTACAGGATGGTGGGCCGACGGGCTTTCCTTTAAACCATTGATCATTGATATAACGATTGGGAGTTATAAGGAGTTTTAAATGCCGACGGGCGGCCGACGGGCAAAAAGAGTGACGACTCTTATTGATAGACCAACGTACTACAACAGCAACGGATTTTTAAAACCTCTGTAGAAATTACCTAAAAACTCTTATAATAAAGACAAAAAATACATGGATATAGATAAATTACCTAAAGAATCATATAATAAAGAAATTTTTTATTTTTTCACGGGGGCAATTGTTCCTTTGGCCTTAAGGTGTATCCGCCCATACTAGAGGTCATATTAATGGAATGCGTCATTCTATCTTACTAGTTTGTTTCCTTAAAATTTTTTTAATATTATACTCCTATTTCTAATTTAAGTTAAAACTTGCTCATTTGTAAAAAAATTGAAAAAAAGCATACTCCATGGTAATTCAAAAAAAAATCAGTAAATATATAATTGGTAAAACAAATAGGAAAAATTAGCACGATAAAAATTGTGATTGTCTCCGAACACATTTATTTCCATCAAAAAATAAAAAATTATAGTTATATTTTTGCTTTATTTGCGTGATTTTTATGATACAAAGTTAGATTTGAAAATTTACAATTCAATAATTTTCATTAATTTGTTATTTTTTTCTTCAGAGTATTGAGTTACATTAATAATTATTTATAACTGACAAGAAGAGTATTATAAAAATTGAAATAAGATTAATCTTCAATACAATATATATAATTTATTATTGCATACTCTAGCAGATTTTATAATCATACAAAAAAATAAAATTTTGGTTTGTTGTATGATAAAAGTTATTTTTTTAATACTGAATAAATAACTTTAGCATTTAAAATAATTTTTGATGGTATTTAAATTAATTAAAGATCAGCTTGGGATAACTTTCCAGCTATTTTAATTTTTCAAATATCAATTACAATTTCATTTGGTTATTATTTTTTTATTATTTTATCATGACTTTTCAAAATTTTCTACTGTTTTAAAAAATAATCTTTGGAACCATAAATTTTAATTTATTTTCCCAACAACAATACACAATCAACTTTATAAAAATCCAACTTTACAACTTGACTTTATTGAACACTGCAACTATCCCAAGCAAATCCTAAGTGTTGAAAGGATCATATCAGGATTTTCGGTGACAATTAAGATATATTTGGTTGTTTACATACAAAATTGAAGGCATAGATGTTAGAAATGGTGGGATGGTTTGGTTGGTAGAAAACTTGCGTGGAATAGAAGAGAGATATTTATTATGGGCCAACGATTTCTTAGAAATTTGGAAAGAATTAGGTTGAATTATGAGAGCATCAATAAGTAATTTCAATAATTTTCATTAATTAGGTTCAATTATGAATGATATGAGTTAAAATCAATAACAATTCTGTTGAAGGAAGAGGAATCAAATGGCCTAAAATCTTTGTGTGATGAAGATGAATAGGATAGTTCTTCTCTTGAAAAGAAGAGGAATTGAACAAGACCTCCATAATTCAAGTTTATCCTCAACTCCCTCTCTAGTCTTATCAACAAGAAGAATATCATCATCAAAAAAGCATACACCAAGGTACATCCTCTTGCAAATGTATAGTGAGAACATCCATGACTAAAGCACCTAAAATTCCATGGATCCACAGATTTTTTGTATTGCTTGTTCTCTAGATTATGTATGTGCTGAGGATTGGATTCTCTTCTGCTATGCTTGTGAAATGTTCAGATTTTATTTTGTTGTGGATAAATCATAAGTGCAGGCATCTTCTCATGCCATTGGGTCCTACGGTGATCAAGTTTGAGCTAAATGCAATGACTTTCAAACTTGCAATCCTGCATGTTGAAACTTGCATTCTTCTTCCATATCAATTGTGGTTCGATGAAATTTGCAACTGTGGGATGTCTGATGCAATATTTTCTATCTTAAGTGGGCGCCTCTTCTTTAGGTTTTCTAAGTGAAAAATTCTAGAATTATATTTTTATGATAAATAGAGGTCTTGGGCATGAACGTAACTGAATTAATGTGTTCTTATAAGTTATTTTAGTTTATTTGATAATAATTGTAAATAAGCTATTAAAATAAGCTGCATATCTTATTGGCTAGCTTATGGCTCATATCATGATCTAAACATTATTTTCTTTTCTTATAAATAGCTATGTATTAAGTCATATTAGGTGTTCAATTAAAATTTGAATTGAATCATTGGCATTATTCTCCCTCCCGTATCATTTAGCTATTCCCATTTTCAGGAAACTAACTCTCATCTAAGAGATACCAACTCTTTAACTTTCAAAATCACATCTAAGTCATTCAACATTCCTCCCAATTTCACGAAATGTCTTTCTTTTGATTTTAGGCAAAATTTCAACCTCCTCCTTCCGATCTCTCTCAATAGCTCTCATTTGGCAAATCATGCAGGAGAGGATAAGAATTTGCATAAGAAACCCTAATTAGGGTTCAATGAAAACATCTTGCATGGAAATTTATCATCTTATCTCCCTTTACATCATCTTGCATGAATTTTGACTACAATGAAGTCATCTTGTTGTATTATTCTTGATTGGTTATCATTTAGAAATCATTGTATCTTGAAATCTCCAAATAAACTTAATTATGCATGCATAACAGCATCTAGAGATGAGAAATTTTAGAAAGCCTAAATTTTAATAAAACCTAGAAAGGCCTCTTCATTTTCTTGCATGGAAATGCTCCGTCCTCAAGAAACCAAAAATTGCTTATAAATCCTTTCAATTTCATAGCGTTCTATATCATCATTCATCATTATCTCTAATCCAACTCGATATAGTAATAAAATTGTATCGTGGTATCAAGTTGATCCTATATCACTAAAAAAAATTCCAATAGACTACTATCTTTGCCCTAATCTGCTAACCAAACACCAAACTCTTCACTTTGCCAAAATTTCTCAACGTTACACTACATCTTTATCCAACCATACAAACCACTAATTTACAACACGGTATGATTTTTTCAAGACCAAAGATTGTGAAAAAAAGCATGATTGTATTACATTGAGTAATGCTTCTTCTTCTGTGATTTTTTTTTTTTCTGCTTCGCAATTTTAAAAAACCAATATTTGACTTATGCAAAAAACATGCAACCAAAAAGCCTCACAATGCGAGTCCATCTTCCGCATAACATTATAACCTCAAACGAAACACATGCTGTCATGCAGAATATTAGGAATGACCTTTCTTTATTAGATTTAAACGAGAATTTGACTTTTAATAGGACACAATGGAGAAAAAGGATTCATGTAGCCGACCCCACGTAGTGGGATAAAGGCTTGATGTTGTTGTTGTTGTTGTTGTATGACACTACTGATGACTTCATTTCGCACAAAACAATGAAACACGATTGCATTACAACATTAGAAGCCTAAAGATACTCTAACAATCTAAAATAACTAGTGATATGAGTGTCATACGATCAACAGAACCCATTATTCAATATAAAAGACGTCAATTAAATTTTCCCAAGCAATCTCAAAGATCAGACTTAATCTCACCACAAGAAAATGCAACCTTTATAGTTAACATGCCAAACAAAGCAAGATTGAACAATTTAATAAATTCTATGCACCTCAGCCTTCAAAAACTAAAAAAAATTATAGGAAAAAAAAAGGGCAAAAAGATCATAGAATTAGAAAAAAGAATAAACAATAACATATTTCAATCAACCCTCGGAGACTGTTTGGTAATAGAATTTACACTGAATTTATCGTGAATTTAAGCCAAATCCTACCAAATAGCCTGAAAGACCAAAATAAATCCTACATAATCTTATATCTCATTCTACCCCATTTCACTATAAATCCTGATTTACTAAATCCGGTTGTTCTGCAGATATAATGGATTTATGCAAAGAACAAAGTAAACTCCAAAGTCCATGTTGCGAAACTGCTCTTGGCTCCATGTTTCTTACCCATTCGAAACCCTACACTATACATCGCAGATCTGCTCCTTGCCCACAGTTTATCATTCATCACAACACAGGTCCTGCACAAGTTCCCCTTTCTTATCCACTTCTTCTCTTAGCCACAAGAACACTGATCCTCCACCAAGCACGAGCGAAGTGTAAGACATGCAATTTTTTATCCGACTTTTGTCTTCATTATTTTTATTTTTATTTTTTTGTTTACGTTATTTCCAATTTGAAATTTTGAGATTTAATCAGAATTTTTTATCATAATGTAGTCTAAAAAGATTCACTTATGTTAATATTTTAGTATGTTAGTTTCAACAGAAGTTCATTTCTATAGAGTAAAGAGAAGATGATATAAAAAAGTGTTAGCACGAGATCTTGCCTCATTGTTTTAGCAAAAATATTTTTATTTGGTATGTGGTTTGAATTATTTATTCATTTAATTTTAGAGTTCATCTTATCATCATTTTTGTTTTTACATAAGTATTTATAGTAAAATGTGTTGAGCTTACGTGCGTTTAAGTAGATTTTTGCATTAGCTTTGTTTATGTCAAAAACATCTTAAAGATAAATTAGCCATAACAATAAGTTGAGCATGGAAAACCCAGCTGATGATGCAACCTCTTATAATTCAACTATGCCTCCAAAACAAAATTTTGTTTTTTGGATTCACGAGCATTCCCCATGAAGTGGGATAAAGGTTTGCTGATGTTGTTGTTGTATTCAAGCGAGCATCCACTCAAGGAGAAAATCAACTATAACCAAACATCTGTTGAGCATGACTAAGAAGACTCAGTTAATAAATCGACATGTCAATATAGAGCGAGATGCAAACACTGTGAGCGATCAATTCTAAACAAATATCAAATATCAAACATATATCAGATGGTTTGGTTCGACTGCCGATTTGTCTATGTTGCATCTGGCACAAGCAAAATTTTTTATTTTGTTGAACCTAATTTTACTCTAACTTGATTATTTACTAATGTACTGTTTCAATGGCAGGTAATGACTCACATGCGTCACTCAACTTGATCAATAATATCACATTAATGATGCAAAAAAAAAATGGTGTTCCAATGTATTCCAATCTTAGATATTTACAGTCTCTCGTGCTGCAGCAAAGCCGTTTCATGAGTATATACATCTGTGATAGTATCTCCTGTTTTCATTTTATCAATATGATTTCTTAATAAATCCTGTTGTAGTTAACTTAAATCCTAAAGAAGCAAAAAAAAACCCAGAATTTAATTGGATTTAATCTCTTTCCAGCCAAACATTTATCAGGATTTAACCGCCTAAGAGTCTAATCAATCTAGTTTTACAAGATTTAATAAATCCTATTAGACTTAAACCCTACTTGCAGCCAAACAGCCCCTCAAACGCTAAACTAGGGTTCCCGTTGTTTGACCGTAAATGAATCTTCGAAACTCAAAACCGCGTATATTCTGATGGATTAAGAGCAAGGGCTTGACATTCGATGCGATGAGAGAAAAAGGTTCCAATTACCTTGCAGATTGGGCAGCTGGATTTGAGAGCGACGGCCCTGGCTTCGAGCTGAGAGCCTTTGGACTTCTGGTTCTTCTCCGCGTTTCTTTTCTGCGCCTCAATCTTCTGCTTCCCCCTCGTCATCTCTCTCTCTCTCTCTCTCTCTCTCTCAATCTTCCGGCTTCGACCTACTATTGCCTTCTGGAAACTTCACAAATGTATATAGTCAGGTATGACTTACATACGACGATGGACGTCAAGGTCGTTAAAAATGCAAATGGAATCCCTGCTTTTAAAGCAATTCAGCTCCGTTCGCGTCCGTCCTATCCAGCAAGAGGTTTTTTTTTTTAAATATTTGTTTCTGAATATCCTAGTAAAAATTTTATTAAGATAAATTAAAAAAAAACAATTCATTTGAGTAAATAAAACACATTTATAATAAACAATATACATATTAAAATTTTTAGTAGAGTATCAATTTTTTTGTTGAATTATGCATACACATATTCACATCTATTTAAACTATGATAATTTTATATTCATAAAAAAGACTTAATTATAATAAAGAATTAAAAATATTTTTTTATTAAATTTGAATGAGAAATTGACTCTTAATATAATACAATAGAGAAAATGGTTTAACGTAGCTAATCACACATAGTGGGATTAAGGTTTCGTTTGGGACGGCTTTTTTATTGCTTCTGAAAATGGAGTTTTAGTAAAAAAATTAAAAAAATTGTACTACAACTCCGTTTTAAAAAGCAATAAAAAAGCCGTCCCAAACGAAACCTAAAGCTTATTATCGCTATTGTACTTTTGAAAGAAGTGTCAAAATTTGATGTAGGCTAACACATAAAAACTTCAACAAATCTCAAATAAAAAATTGATTTGAGTCATTGAGTAACAAAATATTGAGCACAATAAGCCTAAAAGTCATTGAGTAAGTTTTGAGATAAATATAATTGTTGCGGGCTAGAATATACGTTGCAATAGAGTTAGAAATTTTTGTCTCGACGTTGTATCGATATCCACCACACAAACAGAAGAAAAATGAAACACCATAATTTTTATGTGGAAACCCCTGAAAAAGGGAAAAATGATGAGGTCACGCCTAGTTGAAATGATTCAACTAGTATTTGATTGGATTACAAATGACTGACTCGTCCCTGAAATTAAGGACGCCCATATTACAATAATCAACCGTCGGGTTGAAAACAAATTACAAACGGAGATCGGAAATCTGGTAACGTTTAGTGGTAGGGCGAAAATCTGTCTTCAATTGACAGTTTGGTAAAAGTCTGGCGTCAGTTAGCTGTTGGGCAAAAGTCCGGCATTAGTCGGCAATCGGGCAGAAGCCCGACGTCAGTCGTAGGTCGAGCAGAAGTCCATTGTCGGTCATTTGCTAGGTGGAAGTTCAACGACATTTGGTGGCTAGGTTGAGTCCGACGATGGTCAAGGAGTTGCAAGAGAATTCTTTTTCTTCTCTTCTTCCTTGGATCCCTTCTCATGAGAAATGAAGGGTTTATTTATAAATTTCTGAGAGTGGCATAGACAGTACATATGAGGAAGATCAAGGATAAATTAGGAGTGGTTTGAATGGACGAACAATGTTGAATCTCTTGATTGTGGACTGTTTATTGGGCATTTGAATGTCTTAATGATATCAAAATTCGGTGATCTTGGGCTTGTTGGATTCGTCTCGTCGAGCCACTCGATTCGACTATAAGCATATAACATTTGGAAACCGTTTGGTAATCCAAATTATGGTTTGAACCTTACAAATGCGCCTCGGGTCTTTGATTTGGACTCATACGCGCTCGGATTGAGTAGAATTTGGTGTCGTCAGATTTATATTTTTGAGACGTTCAATTCGACTGTAAGTTTGCTAAAATTAGAGTTCATATGATCCCATATTTGATTTTTGAAGTTTCCAATTTGTTTTTGCTTCGACATTCGTGCTCAATCAAGATAAATTTTTGATGATATATCAACAATGTATAACTAACCAATCAAAATTAATATCAAATCAATCTAAGAGAAAACTTGATGATTTTGAAATCTATTATGCTCATATTTGAATCTAAATATTCTCACAAAATTTTTTTCTGAAGTCAAACCATAGGTGCTGGACTCTAAATCATGTAAGGCTCAAATTTGTCTCATTGGTTCCTTGAATTTTAAATGAATTCATTAACAAACCAATTAGTCCATAAACTAAATTGAAAATCAAAATGCAAAGCATTATTGCGCACGACACAAATAATTTTCCATAGAGAAGACAAATAAAAGAAGATTTATGAGCCTATCTCAGCTAAAATAGTTTCCATTCCTTATAGTCATTCATTACAACGGGTTGCTCTTCCTAGACATTGAAGAAGGTGTTGTTATAATACAAAATATGAGAATTGCATTGACGTAGCTCACTTTGACTTGTTGGTTTGGAGGTTTGGCTATCTGTCAAGAGGTCTTAGGTTCAAATCTTATATATATAATGTGTATGAATTTGTCTTAATTGGCTCAAAAGTCCAAAAAATAAAAATTACATTGAATGCCTCATATAGTGGAAGTAAATAATCTACATATATTGATGTAGTGCATATTATGTGAAACCCCTTGAGTAAAAGAAGCTAAACTCTTAAATATCGAGGCCCGTTTTGGTGTAATGGTTGTAGTTTCATTTAAGTAACTCCACAGCTAAGCGTGCTCATCTCGAAGCAATTCTGGGTTGGGTGACCTTCTAGGAAGTTACACCAACATGACAAAATCGTGAGGCTCTTAGACCAAAGCGAACAATATCTTGATAGTGAAGAATTTGGGCTGTTAGATATTGCATATATTGCATGGGGACAGAGACTACCCTGCTCCTTGAAGGAGCAAGAGAATTGGATGATCAAGAGTTAACAAGCAATTGAAGACAAATAGACTACATAATAAAAGAAAAAATTCATCATCATAAAATTAAGTCTTCGATTTATAGAAGGAGATAATCTCTCTCAAAATTGAGAAGTTTGTAATAACACATTAAAATATAAAATTTTCTTTAAATGCTAGTTAAATTTTTGTACATATGTAAGATCCTATATCTATAATGCTAAAGCCAAGCACATAATCCGCCAAGATCATCCTCAATGGGAAACACCCAAACAGCAAATAGCCGCAGAAAATAATATATAGATTGCTAAAAACTCAGTCAAGCCACATGAAGCATGAATCATTCCAGATAACCCGGTAAAAGTCCAGGAAAAGATCAACGAAGAGACCAGAAGAGAAGCCGAACCATTCAAACAGACACCTGCATGGAAAGAAATACAGTTAGCAGAGAGACGGTCAACAAGAACTTTCAGAGTTTCAGAATATTTCCTTGACAATAGTAAAATAGATATCCAAGTACAATTCAAACTTTTCATGCGAGTTATCTGCTAATAGTGTTTGTTGATGGCTAAATTTTTGAACTGGAGCAACTATGAACTAAGAAATAACAATTTTTATCTCATTTATTATTAAGATATCATACCAGCTGCATACTTTCAACATCACTAATCTAGAAGCTTTTCTAATTCACTGTAGCATAAGATGGCTAAGGCCACGTTTGTTTGGCTGAAATTTCTCCCTTTCTGATTTGAATCGGTGAAAAAATTATAATTTTAATGTTTGTTAACACGACTTTTTCAAAATACTTTTTTCTATACCTCCTCCGTATTTCCGCCGATCTAAGAAAAAAACAATTTCTGCTTACCTGTTCTAATACCTCCATTTAAAAACGAAAAAAAAGGGGTCTGGGAGAACCAAATGAGGCCTAACTTATATTTTTTAATTCAATGAACTTAATATGAACAAAGCGTCATGGATTCCAAAAGATAATGCACACTGCTATAAAATCAGGATAAGAAGTATTTTCATAAATTTAGGCTTCGTTTGCGACGGCTTTCTTACCGCTTCTTAAAGCAGTTTTTTTAGTAAAAAAATAAAAATTTTGTACTAAAAAATTGATTTAAGAAGCAGCAATAAAGCTGCCCCAAACGAAACCTTAAGCTCTTTTCAGACATTCGAATTTCTGATAAGTGATAACTATGTGAATAATATTTATAACTATTTCAACAACTAGTTCTCACTTCTCCACATCTACAACTGATTCAATTGCTTGATGTACACGCCAATTAAAACGATATGATATCTTCAAAATTAACTTAAAAAGAGCCAAAAAAGATAAGAATAAACTCCTATTTCCTATAGTAAAGAGAGAATCATGGAGCACAAAGAAGAACAATTAGAGAAACAAATATCTGTAAAGAAGTGAACCTGAAGTGTGTTCTTGTGTTATTTATGCCACTTGGTTGATTTTCAGGGAGCAAAAGGAAGAACATTTGTGATATGGGTTTGATGCATATTTGCATCTAGGATCTACGTTATTCCTCTGTGTCCCCCCCATACTTCTGCTACTTCTTCCTGCGCCCACAATAGCAGCAATTCCTGTAAATTTGAGCTCATGAAACATCCAAATCAAAATTTTAAAAAAAGTTGCAAGAAGATAATCCTGGATTCTAACAAACCTGGCTTGCCTTGCTCTATCTCAGTCATCTTTTGGGTTCTCTGAGAGCAGTTTTTTGTACATTGATGATAAGGATTAGATGCATACGAGCAATTAGGATTCACCTTATTAGTACTCACAGTCATCGCTCTTTCCTTTCTTCCTTCTACTTAGCAATCAAAAAGCATACAATATTCATCAAGATCAAATGATATGTCAATGTTTTGAATAATTTAAACCATTAATTATAAAAAACCTGAAGACATGGAGGGAAGAATGAAAGAAGCTCCCTTTTGTGAGCTTTTTTTATTGGGGTTCCTTCGAGTGCAGAAATCGGTACACTTGTGGAAAGGATTGGATGCGTACCCGCATAAAGGATTCACAATTCTTCTTACTTCCGTCCTCTCTCCATTTTCCTCTACACCAACAGCTCTTGGAGCTGCTCCGACCTCAAAACGAGGAGCAAATCAGATGCAGAAATTCAAAGCAAATTAAAGAAGGAAAAATGAAAGAATGAAAGAAAGAAGACGTTGGAGATAGGCAAAACCTAATTGATATATAAAGAGGGAAGGAGAAAGAAAAGCACAAAGAAGATCTGTGAAAAAATACACGAATTTTAAACAAGTTCTTGTGTTCATCTAGTTTATGTTTATATCATATTACCCCAAGTTATAGACTATCTTATTATGATTACTAGTGAAAATTTATAATTCTAATATTTTTTTTATACAAAGAGGGCATCTCATTTTAATACCAAAAATAAAAAATCTTGAAAGCATCCGAAAATAAATTATAACAGAAAGTTTTAAAATCATTAAATTTATATTAAAATTAATATCATATGTGAATAATTTATGATACAGTAATCTTTAAGTTCTTTTTTTTTAATCCTTCATAGGGGACTCTCCCTGCTGACCTTCCATCCGCCACAAACGGGGCTCGATAAAATAGCAGAGAATAGAAACGAAAGAAAAATAAAACGAAGAAAAAAACCTAAGCTTTCATCGACGGCCGAATCCTTCGATCGAGCAGCTCTCTGCGAACAATACTTGTTGCAGACGTGGTAGGGATTGGAAGCGTAGGTGCAATGTTGCGCCATTCTCATCTGCTTTTCCACGCTAAAGGGAACAAGAAGAAGATGAAAGGATTTGTCGTCAAAGCCAAAGCATTTTAATAACAGAGATTAGAAAGAAGCAAACCAGTGTGAACGAGAAGCCGAGAAGAGAGAAGAAAGAAAAAAGAGACATTGGCTGTTAAGAGTCCCGCGGAAGAAGTAATTTGACTTTTTAGGAGCTAATAGCTGAATTTGATGGGATAAAATAATATGCAATCGTCCAATTTTGAGAACTAGAGAAAATATATATTGAAAATTAGAAATTCAAACAGAAATAATGTTTAAAATAATTTACATATTGAATACTACACACAAATCCCATATTGAAATTATTTGATTTTTTTCTTAATCTCTTATTACATATAAACATATAACCAATTTTCTCAGTCCATAAAATAGCTTTTGCTAAATAATAAAAATTTGTTGTTCCCTAATATAAATTACTACCAATCATAGCTATAGAATTAGTTATATATATATATATATATATATACTTCTTCCCTTTTTCCCTTTCTTATTCTCCTCCCCTTACGATGCTTGATGATTAGAGCGAACACGGGGGTTGCTGCCGCCGGAGGAGCTATCAATCTCGCCTCCTCCTCCTACAACTTGTTGGGTAGCAAAAGTCATCCAGTTGGCCCTACCATCGAAATTCAAAACCATCGAGTGCAGCCACTCGAATCTCATCCATCACCGAATGATGCATAAAAGGTTACCGTGATTTCCTGCTGACACGCTACACCCAACTTCTCCTCGCTCCCTTTCTCGATGTAACTCTCCCTATCTCTCAAGCACAAAGCATGCCCTATGCTCAATTCATCTGCTTAAAGATAGGGGTGTCAATATTTGACACCCCAAAAATCACATTTGTCAAATGAGTCTCGTTCGAGTTCAACAAATTGACCCATCTAAAAAATTAGGTAGGGTTCTGGTTGACTCAAAAATCCAAGACTGACCCAGAACCAACCCGACCAAAACTACCGCTGCAAATGAAATCCCATAGGCTAGCTCCGCACGGACCACTCTACGCCACTGACCCACCTCGTCATCCCGCTACAACACTCGATCCATCATTGTCTCTCCCACGGCTTCATCGTCCGCCTCTTCGCACGGCCCTACATTCCGGCCACCATTTTGCCCTGTTCGTTTGTCAGTCCAGCAAGTCTGCCCGTACTGCCCATTTGCCAGTTCGACGTCTGCCTCTTTACATGGTCCCACCATCGTCCTGAACTCATGCCCATTTGCCAGTCCCGCGAGTCAACCTATCATGCCCAATGACAATCATTTGCAAAATCAATCCTGAGATGTTGGGAAGATTAAACATGGACGAGCATCGGTGAGCTGCCGAGTTCTAACCCACCACAGACAACTAATGCCTCCTTCGACGATGTTCCTTCTAGCGAGACAACAACAGGTTGGTGGGTTATGTCGAGTTGAGCGGGGTCCGAAGCGAATCAGATACTGGTCTGAGAAAATGACCTGTTTAAAAAAATGGGTCGGGTTCGGGTCGGGTCCGATTCCAAGTTTGATTCGAACCCAACATGTGACCCGATTTTGACATCCTAACTTAAAGACACAATATTACCTTAATTGGGTGTGAGAGATGAGACTAGGTTGGTTGGACTGGTTTAGTTCAACCACCTGATTTTGGTAATTACATAGCCTACCATGTATAACAACATATGATTGATACCAAATCCTATAATCATAACCTTACAACCAAATCCTTGCCCCAAAAAATCCTGTAATCGTGACCCGATTTTGACATCCTAACTTAAAGACACAATATTACCTTAATTGGGTGTGAGTGATGAGACTAGGTTGGTTGGACTGGTTTAGTTCAACCACCTAATTTTGGTAATTACATAGCCTACCATGTATAACAACATATGATTGATACCAAATCCTATAATCATAACCTTACAACCAAATCCTTGCCCCAAAAAATATTGTCACATGATAAGTAACTCTGAAGGATAAATGTCGGGTCTTTAAAATCGCTATAAATATTGCCTCCTTTATTCTTCCTCCATTCTTAATATCCCACTTTAGACAAAATCATTGTAACATTGATTATAAAGGCACTTTATTTTCTCCCCTCCCAAAAGTTTACTTAAGCGAGGGTTTACTTTTTATAATCAATCCCTAATTTGAATAACAACATGTTAATCAATTGCAAAATGGATGTAAATCATTTGATTGAACCACTATAAAAATTCTTCAACGACCTACCATGTTCTCTTTTGATTTTCATTTTTCACAAAACACTCACCTCCTAGCTCCTCATCAAGTATCCAACTTAAATTGCACATTCCCTTCTCTCTTTATGAACCTTTGAAATTGTACTCTTTATTGTCACCTTGGCTCGAGGAGCTTCATCAACAAAAGGGATTGATTATATATATTTGGAAGAAAAAAAGATGCAAATAATCTACTTTAATTAGAGTTGCAAGGATAATCAACCATGATAGCTAATCTTTCTCTAGTGTTTTAGCAATTTGTAAGATTCAAAATATGATTAGAATCTTGTGGTGGCTAAGAGACCAATATAATATTGATGAGGTCATTCTAAGCATTAACATCCTCCTTGCCAATAAGAGAGAAGGAATGAAAAGTTGAATACACAAAAAAGAAAACATCCTACCATCCATAATATAAAAAATATCTTCATTAATAATAATATGAATGATAAAAGAGAACGGAGAGGCTTCCATATTAGTATGAATATAGCCAACATCATCTATAGGAATCACTATCGGTTCCAACAAAGTTGAATCAGTTGCTTTTTTATTGACATTTTAATCTACATTACTAACATTCTTGCATAAATTAAAAGGCTTCTTGTTATTGTAATGAAAATCTCATACATTGAAATGATATAATTTGCATGCACCAAAACCCTCACTTTTGATTTCAAATCTTTCCGGGCCCGCCCCTTCTCCAACGGTCATAAAAAGAACTAGAAGGAAACAAATCAGGTCGCACACACGTCAAATTGATGATATAACCGTTTGTTTCCTATGCCTACGACTCGGAACAAGCTGAGCTCTTTCTTCTCCATTGCAATGGCTTCTCCCTATTTCTCCCACCTCCCTTCTCCCGATGATTCAGACATCGACGCCATCATCTCGGAAGCCACCGATCTCTGTGTGCTCGAACAGATCGCCGCCCTCAACACCGCCCATCTCTCCGATTCCCTCCTCCCCACTGACCTCGAGTCCCGCTTTAGAAAGCTCAAAACTTTTCCAGGAGCCGATCACCGGCCACAAAATCCTTCACATTGTTCCGTTCAAGAGAAGGAGAACATACCCACTTCCTCAATCCAATCTGAGAACTTCGAGGAATCAGGAGAATCCAAATCAGAGATTATCTCAACTGCAAGCCCAAAACCAGAGAGATTGAAGGATTATAAGAAGGAGCTACGAGATGAGGTTGGAGCATCACCTTCGGTGGAGAGAAGATCTCCTTCGCCTACACGTGTGATTTGCTGTTTTGGGTGCTCGCCGAAGAAGATGGTGCAGAGGAGGAAAGGGAAACAATGTGAAGAGATCTTCTTGGATTTTGGAGTCTCTTCGATGAAAGAACAGAGGAGAAAGCTGGAGAAGGTGTTAAAGGAGCAGGAGAGGGCTAGCAGGGAGGTGGAGAAGATGGTGGAGGTCATGGAAGAGGCAGCTGCGAGGATGAATGCAGAAGCCTTGGATGAGCTAATGAGTGGAGATGGAGACATAGAGTTCAAGTAGAATGCCATGGTATTTTGACAGTTCAACGTTCTTCTCCACATATTATAAAAGACCTCCTTGCTTTTCTGTTTATAAGTTAATATGTTCATTTTTTCCTCTGTGCATGCCAAATGTTTGCCGAAATGTCTCTTTGTGTTCTTTATTCAGTATGAGATATTTACTAACGCGTATTGTAAATCGTTTTCACGTATACTGAAACTACGAGTCATATGAAGCAAATCTTTCTGTAATTGAGTTGCATTGTTAGTGCTTAAATAATGAACTTCATAAAAATTCTTTTAGGCTCAGTTTGGGTTGGATCAGTTGAAAGACAGGAAATGAAAATGACAAAAGAATTGAAATAGAAATTGTTTTTCACCTGCTTCTTTGGTTGAGGAGAAATTGAGTGAAATATGTGAATGATAATGATAATCTAATAGATTTTCCCCCAGTTTTCCACAAAGATTTTCAATGGAAAGATACATTCATACATATTTCCTACATAAATTTAATTCTATCACCTATAAGCACTCAATATAGAGCACACAAGTAAAATTCATTTTGTATTTCATCCTATTTCTTTAAATCAAACAAGCCCTTACAGTCAAAACCTCCTTTTACTGTTTTATATTAGATGTTTCAAATAGCTAGTGTGGTAAGCTGCAAAACTTTCTTTACTAATTGTTGGAATACGGAAGATTTGGTGAACAAGTTGGGTAAACTTTCATGAAATGTGGTTCCAAATAACTTGTGCGAAGCCTATTTCACATGAAGGTCAGGCAATTCACATCAAAGAGATGGAGGAATAACATGGATTATAATAAGATGTTCTATTTAATAGGTTAAGATTAAGGATAATCACTATAATCATAATTTCTACATAGCCCCATGCAGTTTAACAATATATGCTTAATCGTATTTGCTTCTAACTAAACTTTAACTGTTATTACATCTAAGGTCATCTCCAATCGAAAAACTCATTTTTCACATCAAAATACAATAATACTTCAAAATGAAGTAACTGATCTCCAACTGAAATCCATTTCCTTACATCCAAAAAAGAATATTCAATGTATATTCTCTTATATTTAATTTTATATTTATTTTTAATCATATCTTCATATTTATCAAAATTTCAAATTAGACCTACATATAAAATTTTTAACAAAAATAAATCTTACTTGATAAATTAATTCATAATATAAATATGCATTTAAGAAAATAAAAATTGCATTAGAACACATAAATAGGAACAAAAAAAAAATCTAAAAATATAAACTAAATAAATTTTAATCATATCTTAAAATTTTTTGTGTTATAGGATTTGCTGAAGAATCACGTGAAAGAGGAGGAAGATGATTACCTTCGCAGCGAGATGAAGAAGATAGTGAAAGAGGAGAAAAAAATGAAGTTCGATTAGAGATGAATTACTGTATTTCAACTGATCATCCAGTATGATGAGTATAAAATTTGAATTTCAAAATATTGCCTAAATTATGAGTGGCATTTGAGATCCTGATTTCAATTGATCGTCCTATATGATATACATCTTACAGTACGATTAATTCATCTTACATTAATTATCATAATTAGGTGTTTTAATTATTTTCTGATTAGTTGATCATACAATATGAACAGTACGATATGAATCGTATAGTATGTTAGGTATGTCATGATATTGTCACTAACTCAATCTCTTGAGTGTGTGTGTATGGTTTCCAAACTTAGTATCCACCAAATATATAATTTGACTCAAGAAAGATAAAAGTACATAAGAATTAAAAATATAGACTCTTCATGACATACCTAACACTAGTTTATCTAATCTTGAGCTGATCAAACATACAAGTGAACGGTGGATCTGAAATATTAGTGCATAGAAAAAAGCAGATATGCAATAATATCAATTAATAGGAGACAGCATAATAAGAAATCCAATAATATTTATTATCATCAAAATCGCAGGGTTTAGATCCAAATTTGCAACAAAGTTAATTTATAAATAAGTTTGAATAATATTTAAAATTAAAGGAATGTTTATAATGTGCTTGAAAATATGTTTTTATGTTAGAACATAAATTCAAAAAATAGTTGATTAGCTAAGAACAACAATCTATTAGATTAATATTCAAAGAGCTGCCGTTTCAAAAGAAAAGTTCCTCATCTACAATCTCGCTTTTGGTATTTCCATTATATATTTACATTATTAGAATCAATAAGAAATTAAAGAGAACTGTTTAGATTTCAGTTGTGAATGATCCACAGCATATATAACAAAATACTAAAAGAGGAATATATTTATATATAAAGGGACCACCAAATAATACAGAAATAAAATTGAGTGCATCGATCAAAGTGATAAAAACAGGTTCACGCTGAGATTGCATTCTTCACATTTCAAATATATCAAAGAAATAAGATGAAAGAAGTTTGCTTATGTCTAAATATTGATCTTGTGCCGATCATAGCAGCGCTCTTCTAACTCTGGATGACATTTCCAAATTGTTAGACGTTCCAAAGAGGGAGGAAGGAAGGTTCAGTAATTCCCGAAGCATAGGAACGCCCAGAATATGTAGAACCTGAAGAAATGATAAGCTTTCCAAGGAGGAAGGGAGAGACTGTCAGGATTAGAGTAATGAAAATTGCAGCTTAGAAAGAGAAGACTTAACTTTCAGAAACCACTGCTCCGCCTCATTTGGAAATTAAAAACCACCTCATCATTATCCTCAATTGTCAGCTTTTTTAAGGAGGCGATACTTCAATTCTCACCTTCTCGGGCAAATTTATGTGACGCAAGTTTGTAAGGTTCTTGATGTCAGGTAAAAAATCATCACCATAAGGTTGGTTTTCCCATGGGCTATCATAGATTATGTATTGCAAGTGATAAAGATTGCTTAGAGATCTTGGCAGCATAGTCAAACTACAACCAACAATCTTTAAGTATCGAAGATGTTTTAAATTTCCAATCTCCTCGAGTATTACTTTCAAGTATGGAGCAAATACGTATAATAACCATAGGTTTGTCGATGCTTCGAATATTTTTGTAAGTGCACTGCAAATATCTTCATCAGAAACTTTATAGAACAAGAAAAGAGAATGCAAATGTTTAAACTTCTCAATCTTACTTAAGATGTATGGCTTTGCATTTAAAACAGACAAGTGTCGAATAGTCTCAGAAATTTTGAGAAATGACTTTTCATCATCCAAAACATCAACGCATTCCTGTGCAAAAAATTTAGATGCTGACTCATGTATTAAATCATGCATCTTGTAGTCATCTCTGACAATGCAGTCATATTTGACCTTGTCAAATAAAGCTTTTTTGAGTAAAACATCAAAATACCTTTCTCCGATATCCTCTATTCCTTGAGATGGCTGAATGAAACCCAAAGAAATCCACATTTGGAGTAAATCATCTCTATTAAATAGATGATATTGTGGAAATTTACAACAAAATGCAAAACAATTTTGTAGAGGATTTGGCAGAAATATATAGCTCAGTCTTAAGATGGAATGGATATATTTATCATCCAATAAATTGTTTTCTAGAACTTTCCTCCAATGTGATTCATCCAAGTTCTTGCTTAGAACACCACCAATGACCTTCGCTGCCAATGGAAATCCTAAAAGCTTTTTAACCATCTCTCCAGCAATGTCTCTTAAATTTTCAGGGGGGTTCTGTCGGTTCTCTAAACCAGCAAATGCATAAGACTTAAGGAGCAGCAAACACTTATCTTCCTCCAAGCCCTCTAATCTAACTATTTCCACCTTCTTTGTAATGACCTTTTCAATCAACATTGCAACCGAGTCCATTCGAGTTGTTACCAAAATTTTACTATCAATATTCCCATGAGCCAGAGGGGAGAGCAACTTCTCCCATTTAATAATATCCCGGTTCTCCTCATCCTCCTCCCAAATATCATCCAGCACAAGTAAGAACTTTTTGGACATCACCTCCTCCTCGAGACGCCCTTGAAATGCCACAAGCGTCTCCAAACGAGGTCTCTTCTTATTAAGACATTCCAACATATCTGCAATGACTTTTTTCACATCAAAGTTGTTGGAAACTGAAACCCACATTTTAAGATCAAATTCCTTTGTAATTTCATCTTTATAAACATGTTGCAATAGAGTTGTCTTCCCCATACCACCATGGCCCACTATGCATAGCAGAGAAATGTTACCGTACAAAGTAGTTCCCCGATGCTCATTTGATGATTTCCTCAGCCACTCCATAACACGTTCCTTCTCCTTGCCTCGACCGATGAGATCATTTGTAGGGAAGGATCCTGTTTCACGTTCTTCAGACAACTGACGCTGCTGCTCCTGCTGCTCCAGCTTTGCGCTATCTATAAGATGAAGAAAAGTACTAACGTCAGCTGAAACTTTACCTAGTTTCTTCACAACCGCCTCAAGCCTCTTCAAGTTGGGATCAACATTGAAAACACTTTTGCCAATTTTGCGAGCACGTTCAATCAGGAACCTCGAGCTTTCCGAAAACGCAGTACTTTCCTGATAAAATTAGCGAGAAATAGATTATCATATAAATATATTTATTTGCAACCAGTATCAAAGAGGTAGCTGATGATAAAGAACGCACTTTTGTTTCCCCAATGTTTTTTGAAAGCTGTTCTTTAAGCTTCATGTACTCAAACTCATCGAGCACATCATTTGCCTCATCAACAGCATCTCGCAGCTGCCATATCCATTCCTTGAGACCCGGGGTCTGATCGATAATTTTTGCTTGGTTAGCGGCAAAGACGACAGCTTGGATCTTGGGGTGGTTCTCTCGCAGCCTTTCCAGCTTCTTCTTCATGCCCGTCCGCCATCCGACTTGCTCGACCAGGTAATCAGAGCAAGCTTTGATGATCTTGTTCATGATGGGACCAACAAACCATCCCGCCACCTCCATGGCACCCAAGATCGAGGTAGAGAGAGCAGAACAACTGAACAGTAGGAGAAACACAGATTGATTGGAAGAGATAAGATTAGATAGTCTGTAATAATTGAGAGAAAGAGAAGATGAAGCTGCCGCGTAGTCGGTAAGCCGCTGAAGTCTCTGTCATAAAATAAGAAAAATGAATGCTTTTTTATCTGCTTATGATGAATAATTTGATACTAATTTATATTTTTATGTAATATAATTGAATAAAATTTTGAACTTTTTTAATTGAGTTAAATGGGCAGGGTTAATTTTTTTAAATATATTTAAATTATTAATATCAAATATATAATTAATTAAGTTTTTTCTTGAACTCATGAAAAAAACTTGTACATAATTTTATTAAGATTTTAAATTCAAGTAAATTGCTATAAAAATAAATGAATGGCTTTGAATATTATAGTTATTATCTTATTTTGATTTAATTCATTTATTTCCCTA